AAACATTCACTTGCTCTCCATCAGTCAGGGATAACTGTTCTTTCGCATTGGATCCATGCAGGACCCTTCGATTAGAGGTGTCAGAAGTTAGGTTGTCATACTGAGAGACTACTTGACAGCTACAATGACTACAGTAAATGCAGCGACTACAGAAGACATGCCACAGGATTCAACACAAAACAGCAAACTGGTGCAAGACTTCTTCAAACCATGGCGAAACATTCACTTGCTCTCCATCAGTCAGGGATAACTGTTCTTTCGCATTGGATCCATGCAGGACCCTCCGATTAGAGGTGTCAGAAGTTAGGTTGTCATCCTGAGAGACTACTAGACAACTACAATGACTACAGTAAATGCAGCGACTACAGAAGACATGCCACAGGATTCAACACAAAACAGCAAACTGGTGCAAGACTTCTTCAAGCCATGGCGAAACATTCACTTGCTCTCCATCAGTCAGGGATAACTGTTCTTTCGCATTGGATCCATGCAGGACCCTCCGATTAGAGGTGTCAGAAGTTAGGTTGTCATCCTGAGAGACTACTAGACAACTACAATGACTACAGTAAATGCAGCGACTACAGAAGACATGCCACAGGATTCAACACAGAACAGCAAACTGGCGCAAGAGACTTCTTCAAACCATGGCGAAACATTCACTTGCTCTCCATCAGTCAGGGATAACTGTTCTTTCGCATTGGATCCATGCAGGACCCTCCGATTAGAGGTGTCAGAAGTTAGGTTGTCATCCTGAGAGACTATTAGACAACTACAATGACTACAGTAAATGCAGCGACTACAGAAGACATGCCACAGGATTCAACACAAAACAGCAAACTGGCGCAAGACTTCTTCAAACCATGGCGAAACATTCACTTGCTCTCCATCAGTCAGGGATAACTGTTCTTTCGCATTGGATCCATGCAGGACCCTCCGATTAGAGGTGTCAGAAGTTAGGTTGTCATCCTGAGAGACTACTAGACAACTACAATGACTACAGTAAATGCAGCGACTACAGAAGACATGCCACAGGATTCAACACAAAACAGCAAACTGGCGCAAGACTTCTTCAAACCATGGCGAAACATTCACTTGCTCTCCATCAGTCAGGGATAACTGTTCTTTCGCATTGGATCCATGCAGGACCCTCCGATTAGAGGTGTCAGAAGTTAGGTTGTCATCCTGAGAGACTACTTGACAACTACAATGACTACAGTAAATGCAGCGACTACAGAAGGCATGCCACAGGATTCAACACAAAACAGCACTGTTCTTTTGCATTGGATCCATGCAGGACCCTCCGATTAGAGGTGTCAGAAGTTAGGTTGTCATCCTGAGAGACTACTTGACAGCTACAATGACTACAGTAAATGCAGCGACTACAGAAGACATGCCACGGGATTCAACACAAAACAGCAAGACTGGCGCAAGACTTCTTCAAACCAGGGAGAAACAGTCGCCAATGTCCACTCAATGCTGCGCCTCGTGTCCCAGAACCAAGAGCACAAGCAGCCATCTCTTCACCTGCTGAGAGGGTGCCAAGAAAGTTCGTCGTGCAGAAACTCTGTCATATTTTGCACCCAAAAGATCAAAACGGCGTTTGTGTAAGAGACCCAAGACATCCCAAGTTCAAACCATTTGTGTGTGTGTGTGTGCGTGTGTGTTTTTAACCATCTCTCTGTAGGTTTGAACGGTTTGTCCAAAAAAAGGATTGTACCATTTCAAAGGAGAACATGATTACTCATTGGAATTTAGGCGTGCCTATTCTTGGGCAATCCCATATGAAAAATCCACAACCTCAGCACCTCTGTCATGCTGAACCAATGGACGGTCAGCTGATGGATATGCTGAAAGGCTTCAGCAAAACTCTACACAAATAGTAATGAAAAGGGAAAATCATGAAAACATGGGGAAACAAATGAAAACATGGGGATATATAAATGGAGTATTAAGGTGATAATTTGGGATAATAATCACAACAATCACCATCATGTGGTTGGGAAACTCTGATTTTTTAGCTCCAACTGGCTCCCCATTGAGGGAAAATGGATACCCCACTGCTCTGAACAGCTCCCTCCCACGAGATAGAATATCAGTACGCTCTGGTAAACCAACAGTTTGCTATTGAAAATGGCCCTTTATAGTGAGTTTTCCCATTAAAAATGGTGATTTTCCATAGTTATGTTAAATTACCAGAGGGTATCAATGGATTTTTAAGTCACTGTTTCGGAAATGGAAACCCAATGACAACACTGCTGAACCCATCTTTTTTTTTGGAAGCCTTCTGGATGATCAGATCCTTCAAAATCATGTCTCTGGTTTGTGCAAAAGTTTCAAAACCAGCAGGATTCAATTAGTTAGTTGTGTTGAAATGTCGCAAGAGCCATTCTGAAACCCCTGAGCTCAAAAAAAACAGCAAAGACCAGAAAGGAGCAATCCAGAAATGTCCTTATCAATGTATATACAGGTGTTTCTACTTTTTTGCAGGGTTCCCAATCTATTTCAACCATGAACCAGCACCTTTTGAGAAACTTTTAAATCATGTATACCTTCGGATCGTTTCCGACAGAAATGTCAGTCCTATCAGTCCCGGCAGCTTGGGCAACATGGATGCACTTGTACTTGAAATTCACTCCGTCAAGCCCAGACAGGCGCACCCACCGGTGAGAAAGTGCTCACAAGCAGTTTTTTCATCGACTTTTTTCTCAAGTCTGCTAACTCCTGCTTTGCAGGTTGCAGTCTTAGTTTTCATCTAGCAGATTCTAGCAAGCTTTGCTTTTCGCGACCATTAGCCTCTCGAAACCCTCCGAGGAACGGGCCTGCAAACAAGGGCTTGCAGAACACACCCAAACAAATGCTCCCAAAAGGTATTTCTCACGACTTTGGGTGGATTACTTCTATTACTGCAAACCATTGTAGTATCGCAGTGCGACATCTGCCAAATTCTTGGAGGTCGGCACTTAACCCACTCAGCTCAGCATTCAAACTTTTCATCTTGATCCTGCTGAAGTGCACCTGGCAGGCTACCACATCGACCGCCATCGGGGATCGATGCAATGGGTTGGCTTTATAAAACAATGGTCCGTAAGAACCTCCATAGTTTGGATATATATGATATAAATTTGTATATAACCCGTACAACTACAGGTATATAACTTATAAATACTTATAACGGTTTATAAACCACTTATAGATTGTGCAGTCCGCCTGCACCATAGGGTCTGCGGCACCGGTTGGCTACACGTCGCTCAAGACTTTCCTCAGTGCTCTCTTGGATCTTTGTTCCCCAACGAAGTCAAGGCAGAACCAGGCATAATGCCATGATTTGTGTACCGACCCAAGAAATGAATTGGGTTTTGCCTTCAGATCATAATCCATGTTTTTGGTGCGTCGAAACCTTCTTGGAAACCCATCTATCCAAGCATTGTTGAGTTTTTGTTCTTCACACATGTTTCACCTATCTCCGGCGCGAGTCGCCTGCTCCAAAAAGTGTTGCCTCGTTGAAACCAATCATTTCTGTGGTTTTCAATGCACTGAGATAATCGACAGCCATGCCTATTTTTGTGTACTGTCTGTAATATTGAAAAAATGCGGATCCATCTTTGAAGATAAGTGCATTATGTATTAATACAAATTGAACCACTCCAAGCGGCCAATTTGCCCACCAGCTGGTTCTGTCTCTTGGCCGTGTTCCTGATGGGATCATGGAATTGATCAATGACCATCTTCATTCTATACGCGTGTTCCCCTTTTACGCATGTGTTGCCCTTGTTGTTTTGGTGGTTGTTGCATTTGTGTTTAAATTGTTTGAATGTGTGTTTGTGTCTGTAGTATACAATTGTGTTTGTTGGTGGTACTGCTACTGGTGCTGGTGCTGGTGACGTTGGTGGGTCCGGTGATTTGTGTTTGTGTCAGTACGTCTTTTGGGGCGATCCGACCCTAATTCTGAGTGGCCCCTGCCAGTTTTTGCATCGTCTGGGTGGTTGTTGTTGTTGTTGTTGTTGCTGCTGCTGCTGCTGTTTCATCTTGTTGCTAGTTTATCTGTCATCGCCACGCTTGTCATTGCTGTTCCTGCTGTTGCTGTTCTCCTCACGTTGTTGGTTGGTGTCGTTTCCTTTCTCTCCCTTGTTCTCTTTATTGATTATTTTTTTGTTGTTGGTGGTGATGTCCGTGCTGTCTGTCAGCATGTCAGGGGTGTTGGCGGTGTGGGCGGTTTTGGTAGCGTCGCGGTGTCAGTGGCATTGGCGCAGTCAAGGATGTCAGTAGTTTCCGTGGCAGTGGTGGTGGTGGTGCTCGTGGTTGTGGTCATGATCATGGTCGTGGTGGTGGTCTCGTCGTGGTGGTCGTGGGCGTGGTGGTGCATGGTCGTGGTGGTGCATGGTCGTGGTGGTGATCGTGGTGGTCGTGGTGGTCGTGGTGGCAGGTGTGGCTAGACATTGCATGAGATTCCCTTATCAATGACGTATAAGCTCCCCTGATCAAGACACGTCAGACTAGAAGGTGTGCCTGCTGGGCGAACTCCTTGTCCCACAGGCCGGGTTTACCATCAACCAACTCGGGAGCTTACCATTAACCAAACCGCCATGAAACAATATACCATGGGTCCAGAATTGTTTTAGGATTTGTTTTCCGTTTTGGATTTTTTTTGGATCTCCTGTCCCGTCCTGTCCGTTTACCTTGGTAGTTGCAGCATTTTGGAGCTGGAAACTGCCATTTCGACGGTATTCTGCAACATTTTGGAGTGCGGACCTCTTCTTTTCCGTGGTATTTGCAACACTTTGGTGCTCGAACTGTTCATGTTGAATGGTCTTTTGCAACTAGGATTCATTTAGGATTTTGGTTTAGGGTTGGTTTATTTAGGGTTGGTTTTCAGGTTGGTTTGGTTGTTTTTTCGGTTAGTTTTCGATTTTTTGGGGTTGGTTTTGGAGTTGCTTTAGGTTGGTTTAGGGTCAGTTTAGGGTTTGTTTAAGCCTGGTTTAATAAACTATTCGGGTTTGTCCAGGATCTATTTCAAACCTGTTTATGTTTGTTTAAAGTTTATTTGGGTTGATTTAAGTTTGGCTTGAGATCTATTTAAGGTTGGTTTAGGTTTAATTTGGGTACGTTTCCAGATTTGTTTAGGGTTTGTTTGGGTTTGTTTAGGGTTGTTCGGTTGCTTTAGTTTTTTGAAGGTTGATTTGGAATTGATTTAGGGATTATTTATTTATGTAGTTAATATATTTTAGGGATTGTTTAGGTTTGAGAAGCAAAAAAAAACAGGGAAAGCAGAGAAGCAGAAAAGCGGAGAAGCAGAACAGCAAAGAAGCAGAGAAGGAAATAAGCAGGGAAAAGGAAAAAAAACAGAGAAGCAGAGAAGCAAAAAGGTTGGAGAAACAATTCGGGAACCGGGTTTACCATCAACCAACTCGGGAGCTTACCATCAACCCAAACATGAAACAATACACAAAATTGCGATTTGCTCAATAACGGATAGTCATCCAATCCCCCCAGGGAACAATAACAACATACCAATGCCACTTCCTAATTTATAAAGGGGGCGACATCCCGACCAAATGACTATATCTCTGTTTAAGTTCATAAGAGAGTCAAACCCCGACCCGTCAAACAACTGATACCGCCATGTAGGTTTACCAGTAGTACGGCACAAGGCGGCGGCGGAAGTTTCAAAGATAGGAAACTATAGGAGAGGTGAGTTGTTGTGGTGCATGGATGGCAGAGGGAAGTGATGGACCGAAACGTGGTTGGAGTTGTGTTTTTTGGGGTGGTTGCAGTGGTCACCTCACGCACAACTCCTGGATGTAGTGCGGAGGTACTGTAGTGTAGTGTAGCTGCAGTTGTAGTTGCAGTTCTAATCGTAGTTGTAGTGCAGGTGTTGTTGTTATTGTTGTTGTTGTTGTCGTCGCTGTTGTCGTCGCTGTCGCTGTCGCTGTCGCTGTCGCTGTCGCTGTCGCTGTCGCTGTCGCTGTCGCTGTCGCTGTCGCTGTCGCTGTTGCTGTTGCTGTTGCTGTTGCTGTTGCTGTTGCTGTTGTTGTTGTTGTTGTTGTTGTGGTTGTGGTTGTTGTCGTTGTCGTTGTTGTTGTTGTTGTCGTTGTAGTTGTCGCTGTAGCTGCAGTGTAGTTGTACTTGTAGTTGTAGTTGTCGCTGTAGCTGCAGTGTAGTTGTACTTGTAGTTGTAGTTGTAGTTGTGGTTGCAGTTGTAGGTGTAGTTGAAGTTGCAGTGTAGCGGTCGTGGTAGTGGTACTGGTAGTTGTAGTGTTGTGTTGTGGCGCTTGTAGCTGTAGCTGTACTTGTAGCTGCAGTTGTAACTGGAACTGTTGTTGTTGTTGTTGTTGTTGTTGTTGTTGTTGTTGCTGTTCTTGTTGTTGCTGCTGCTGTTGTTGTGCGGTGTCGTGCGCTGTCGTGCGGTGTAGTGCGGTGTAGTGCGGTGTAGTGGGGTGCAAGTCGGTGTAGTGCGGTGTAGTGTAATGTAGTGTAATGTAGTGTAATGTAGTGTAATGTAGTGTAATGTACGACCAGAAGTGGTCGGAATCGACATGGGCTTGGCGCCACAATGGCGTGCACTTTTTCGACATCTCAACGTCCAAAAGTGGTCCCAACGCGGTGTGTTTCCCACATTTTGACATCAAAATGTGCTTCGTGCCACAACGGTGCACTTTTTGAACATCTCAACTTCCAAAAATGCTCCCAACCTCCTGTACTTTGCACATTTTCACGTTGAAATGTGCTTCGTCCCACAACGCCATGCACTTTTTCATCATCTCAACTTCCAAAAGTGGTCCGAACCTGGTGTGTTTTGTACATTTTGACTTCGAAATGTGCTTCGCTCCAAAATGGCGTGCACTTTTTTGGACATCTGAGCTTCCAAAAGCGCTCCAACACTGAGGTGTTTTTAGCATTTTGACGTCCAAATCTGCTTCGCGCCACAACAGCGTGCAATTTTTCATCTCTCATCTCCCCAGATGGAGCCTACCTTTCGAGCCTCTGGAGCGACAAAAACACAGCGTTTCGCGACTTTTCTATATATATATATTCTTTCGCGCACCTTGATCTTGTTTCTTCTGGCTCTTTCTCTTCTCTGATCTTTCTTCTTCTGATTCTTCTCTGACTCTTCCCACCTCTGCTTTTCCATCTATATATATTGTCGGAAGTTTGACTTCTAAACTTCCTCCGGTAATAAAGAACCAGACAACCACCCCACGGGAACAATTAACTATATCGTGCTTGCGCGAAGTCCGGCCCGAACTTCAAAAATGACTTGCTTTCCATCCAGACTGGAACGTATTATAAAACACTGCCAACGTGCAATACAAATTTCATCCCTCAAACGCAACCCAACGCGTTGCGGGCGCTCTCCTAGCCTTGGCTGACATGGTTCAAAGTTCAGATCGCTTGCGCCAATCCAGGCTACCCCCACTAAAGAAAGGAAGGAGATGGATATCAACCAATCTGTCTCAACTTCCACATTGGAGATCCGATATACCTTTACTGTTGCTTCATGGGTATCAGGCGGAAGAAACAGTTCCAGCAGGGCATCCTGCGCTTCCCTTGCGCCTTGCGACGCTGAGCACCATTTCTATGTCCAAGCGGGTCGCCGGGCCACGAAGCTTCAAGCAGCCTGGCAGTACGATGCGCGCCGCCTGTGCGCATCAACCCGCTCCGCCCTCCCCTTCGCAAGCTGCATGGTGGCCTTCCACAAACTCGGTGAGATCGATGGTGCCAGAGTTGTCCTTATCCAATTCCACACCGGGAACCCTGACCTATATCCAACCTTGGTATTCTGCAGTCTGGCAAACCTAGCTCCAAAGATGCAGACCTCTGTCACACACCTCTTTCACGCCAAGTGGCGGGATCGAGTAAAGTAAAAAGCCTCGGTTGCACAGCATCAACATACAGGGCAGGGTGTGGTGGTAGACTGTCCTAGGTTTTCGCGCAAATTCCACCATGTCGCAAGGCCATCTGACCCTTGGTCTTCCGCCCCAAGATTGTGTATAACTCTTGTAGCAAGAACGGTGGGTCCACGTGTTTGTTCTTCCGTTATCATAAGTTGATTCTGCCCTGTTGGCTTCGGGCAGCTTCCAAGCATTGTTCAAATCCATGTCCAATGCCCGGAAATATGCCGCAACCTGCACCACTCTGGGTCCAGAACTGAAGCAGAACAAACTCAAGTGCCAACAAAGAATCAAAAAGAGAAACACCATGCTGAGGCAAAACGCAAGAGTACATGATGCGCACGCTTGGAGATATCTTTGAAGCTAGCTGACGACTGAAATGAAATCCACCTGCCAAAATCATCCCTTGCAATTTTTCCCACAAAATGGAAATATAAATTTAGGATGAAAATTGCAAAGTAGGCGTGACATCCCGTTTTCGTTTCTCGCTCTTCGCAAAATCTTCTTGCAGCTACTACCAGTGGCCGCCCATCCTGCCTGAGGCTCATTGATGTGTTCTTCGAATGCGTGGGCAGAGAGTTCTCCGGATTGGTCCTGCCGGCCAATCTTCAGGCATGGTATCCGATACGTGACCTACCCAAAATAGAGATGCTCACCCGAATGACATGCATTTGGCACGGACTAGGTCCGCCAAACACAAACCAAACTGCAATTTAACCATTTAACCTATTTTCTAAAGAGAGGGGAGCGTCCAAAGGAGAAGGAGGTCTGGCTTTAAAGACCGACACGCGTTTCACACAAACCCGGATCACCATGCTCAGACCTAATCGCAATTTAACCTCAATTCTTGGCAATCGACAAGCCATTCGTGCGTTTTCGCGCGGGGACGGTTCATCAAAGGCCAACCAAATGGCAATTTTTACCCTTGTTTTTTGATGAACCAACACGCATTGGCGATGGAAAGGCTCACCAAATCAAAAAAAATATTGAGGATAGATGCGCAATTCGTGCGAGACAGGTGCACTTCGCAAGCATCGATCTGCACCGTGCTGTTGCCTGAAAATAAAAAAGTTTCAAAACATTTAAAAGCGTAGGTGTAGTCTAGAAGATCTGTGCACCTGCATCTATACACCTGCATATCTACACTTGTAGACGTGCCAATTTTTGCACCTGCATCTATACACCTGCAAATTCACAATTGTAGATCCAACGATATCGCCACCGACATCTCACACCTGTGTATTTACACCTGCATGTGTGCAGTGGTAGATGTGTTAAATATAGTTTTCACCCACATCAACACACCATAAACGATGCCAGCATAGACCCCAGAGAGCAAAAGATTTTTTTTGTGGCAACCAAGCGCTCGCCTTTTCTTCTACGGCATCAACGTAATCTCCATCATGGCCCAACGCACACACTGCCATAGACATCTCGCAGCCACTCCCTGCAGCGACACCGGCACCCAAGGTTCATAGCGCACACAGCACTCTGACAGCAGTACCCAAGATGCAGACAGCCCTTTGACAATAGTACCCTGCACCCGCACCCTGCAGCAGCACCAACATGCCAGCTCCAGAGCGCACTAACAGCAACACCCTGGAGCAGCACCCTAGCGGCACCAGAGGCCAGCTCGAAAGCGCACACGCCACTCTAACAGCAGCACCCTCAGCAGCACCAGCAAGCCAGCTCCAAAGCGCACACACCACTCTAACAGCAGCACCAACATGCCTAAAACGCACATGACCAACTCACCCTGTACTTGAAGCAAGAACCACATTAGCATGGCTATCTGCGGGAAAAAAGTTCTGGGTCCATAGGTGTTTTCACCTGCCCCTAAATCCGCACAGCTGAAGAATGATGATGAAGATGAAGATGAAGATGAAGATGATGATGATGATGATAATGATGATGAAGATGAAGATGAAGATGATGATGGTGATGATGATGATGATGAGGATGAGGATGAGGATGCGGATGACGACGCTGATGACGACGATGATGATGATGACGATGACGATGACGATCAAGAAGATGATAATGAAGATGGCGATGGTGGAAAATGTATATTGGCAGCCGAAAAAGCATCAACTTGATTTGAACTGAATGGGCCATGATCACTACCACTGGGCGAAGATTGAGCAACTACCGCATCCGGCAGATGCAACACGCCTCATCCATGAGGTGGAACAAGGTCCGAACTTGATCGGTGTACATCTTCTTCGACCTCAAACAGATATGCACCAAGGAGAAAGACGGCCGTTGTTTTCGTCTGAGAAGCACACTTGCACAAGTAACAATATCAAACACCAAAACATGTGAGCGCACATGGCACAATTTCACTTGATCAAGAAACCTGGCAATTTTTCACTGGCGGAAGGTTTCCTACAGTCTTAAAAATTGACATGGACCACCCTGGGAAAAAGAAAACCAAACTGCGTGTGATCTTGGCGTCTCTGCTTCCATTGTTGGCCAAGACAAGGCCACCGCAAAGCACAAAACTATGCATAAATATCCTGCTCAAGATTCCTTGGGACACAACCCGGACACTCTCGTGAAACATTTCGGATCTGGCCCAAGGAACTTGAGCTGCGCCTCAATAACCATTTCCTGGACACGCAAATGCGCCGCAACATGGCGTGGCTCAACTGCCCGCATTGGAGACATCATTATGCAAATTAGAAAATTAAGTTTTCCATCAGTATCAAGGATTTTGCTACCGTTTTTGAAAAAGGCTGCGAAGTTTCATCGCTAAGCTCCAAAAACTGACAGCGACAGCAAAGATGCGCCTGATCCAGCGATGCAGACTCTATCGCATTCTGGCAGAAAACACCAGTTACCTGGGCCGCGGATGATGATGTAGACAATGACGCTGCCCGCACTTGCCCGCAGCCGCAGCGCAGGCCAGAGGCGATCGCCAGAATAGAATGGAGGTGGTTCTAGTCGTCGTGGCGCTGCTGCAACACATCAGCACGTGTTGCAGCTGCAAACCTTAGAAGTTTGTTGTCATGGTCCACCTTAGTAGGATCAGTAGTGGGCCATGCGAGTCTTTCCTGCAGCACATCGTGGGGTCTAATAGTAGGATCACGGTGTGGGTTCTGAGTACATTCCCAAAGCATGTGCTGCACAGTGGCACAAACATGTTGGCAATAAGGGCATGTTTCTTCAGCACCTCCCATGGCATTTCGACATTGAGGTGAAATGAAAGCACCAGTTACAACAGCCAGTTCGTGACTGTTGAGTTTTTTCTTGCGCAGAATATTAATGCGGGTCAGGTCACATGGAATGTCTGCACAAACCGTTGAGTCGCGTCGGTCAAGTTCCAAGAATTCCTCATATTTTCTGATTCGCCAAGCATCTCTGAGCCTATGTGACAGCACTTCGGTCGCCTTTTCAGGCAGCGTGGTTGGTTGAATCTGAATAGTTTCAAGCATCGGGTGCGTCCAGGTCCAACTACCAGCCTCAGCGAACCCAAGTTCTTGCATGCCTTTTCTAAAGCTACCCGTCCAGCCACTCATTTTGGGTGGCCAGTTTTGCAACTGCATCTGTGTTTTGTGAACATAGCGGGTGAGGACTCGGAGAGTCGTAACCGTGGCAGCAAAACCTAAGTCCCACCAATGGCCAGTAAAAATTTGGAGTAAAGGTACGGCTGACTGCTTTGGCCACTGATGCAGCGCTTTTGCTCCCTGAAAGAAAGCGTTGCTTTCAGCATGAGTGGGTCTTCGAAACAGCCATCCCCAACTTGCTTTTGCTGGGGCACAAACCCTGGCAACTGCAGCTTTACGTGTTTTGGAACCTGGGAGGCACCTACATTTTCGAAGAACTTCTTTGGCCTCAGTGAGTCTTGTCAGTTCTCGGTCTTTGGCTTTTCTTTGGGTCACTCCCATGAACTGGAATCCCAACAAGGTGATGGAAGTGGAAACTGTTTCTGGAGGACAGCCGGCATCCTCGAGAGATCGGCAACCTTGAACGTTGCGGTGGTAATATTGCTCTTTGGTGGGGTTTTCTTGAAGACCAACCTTATTGCTCCAAACATGCCATTCATTTCGAACTTGCCATATTTCAGTCGCAGTGGAACAAGTGAAAGAACGATCATCGGCATATAAAGCTTGAACGCAACAAGGGTATTTTCTCTGAATGTGATTGGCAATGGGAGTAAGCAAAACACACATGCCTAACATGCTAAAGCAGTCACCTTGCGGCAGGGAGCGCTTGACAACATGGTTGTTTGGGAAAAATTCGTCATGGAGCTGAAGAAAACGGATTTGTTCGCTCCACATGCTTAACAACATGCGTGCAGCTTTGCGCGGCATACCTTGGTGGACAAAGAGTTTGCAGATTATCTCAGGGTCAGAATAATCGAAAGCTTTTGTCAGGTCAAGTGTACCAACCGGCCAGCTATGCATGTCTTTGAGGATTATGTGAGAGATAGCATCCTCAACACCTTTTTGGGGAATCCCCCAAACATGAATTCGGGGGTGGATGTGTGGATCCATTCCTGAACCTCAGTTTGTTTGAATCTGGCTCGGCTGCAGATTCGCCAGATTATCGACATCACAGCTATGGGACGCATGTTGTCCGCCAGCATGCTGCCGTCAGCTTCAGGTGGTTTCCCTTTCGGGATATGCACTTGGCGAACACATCGCCATATGGTAGGAATGTTTCCGAGCTCTTCACAATGATCATAGAACCCGGACATGACCTGCCACATTTCGTCACTGAACAAACTAAGTTCCTCAGCTCTCCAGCCGTCAAGCCCCGGCGCACTGCCGCGGCTACACTTGGTGGCAGAACGGAGTTGTTCCGGTGTGAGGCTTGGCCAGCTGTCAGGAGCAGGGCGTGGTGGAGTGTGAGTAACCAAATCATCCCAAATATCATCCCAAGAGATTTGACGTCTATTCCAAATATCGGCCCAAAATTCCCTGAGAATCCTCAGGCTGTCTTGGGTGGAGTGACTAGGAACAGAGTCTTTGGTTTTCTTAACCGCATTGCACATGGGAACAGATCTATGTCGCAGCCACCTGTATGCAGCCTTGTCATGTTCCATGTTGTTTCTCCATCGTTGAAGTCTGGTGTAGTCATCTTCATGATTGAACCGTTCCAAAAGCGTTTCAAGATGCCGAAGGTTTCTTTGTATACCCCAATCATGGTTGTACATAGAACACCGTCTGATTTTATTCCAGAGAACTCGGCTTTCAGTGATATTTTGCCTGTCTTGATCCAAGTTTCGCTGGGCTTCCCGCAACCTTCCAATCAATCTGCGCAGAACTCTTTGGCGGTGAGTAGCCATAGCTCCAGCAGGATGTCGTTTCATGTGTTCTTTCTGTTTAAGAGAGACCTCAGTGGCCTTTCCTTTCCTCAGTAAGGCCGGAGACACTCGCTGCAGCATGTCAGGGGCAGCAGCCCTGACTGCACAAACTAGGGCTTGAAAAAAAGTTTGCGAAAGCATCTGCCAGTCCTGGTCAACATTGACTGACCATCGCTCTGGAAGTTGTGTGGAAAACTGCGGCCAGAGCTGAGCCAATTTGATTTGGATTCGTTCAGCAACTTCCGGGTCCTTCGGGAGGATTCTAGGAATGTTGGCTTGTTGGAAACCTAAAACAGGTTCGGTAGATAAATCGAAAAAAGTTTTGACAATTTTGTGGTCGGCTACAACATCAGGAAGCGTTTCGACCTCAGTGGGCTCAAGGTTACTGATATAGTAGTCAATATCGCGGTTTCCTTGCCACCGCGTTGGGGTTTGAGTGGCATGAATACGAAATTCCCTAGGAATCAAGAAATGAAGAAAGGGATTCTCTTCGGGTGTGGCATTGTAATCCCCCCCAAAATAAAACGATGTCTTGGAGCGAGAGAGTGGACAGTTTGAGCCACAGCTGCACTCACGGTTTCTGCATCACTGTTAGGAGCCAGGTAAGTGGAGATGACCAGAGTTGATCCCACCCACACAGCTTGGGCACTACCTCCTTTGTGAGTGTGTGACCAGGCCGGTCTACAAGGTAGTGAAGATTTAACCAAGACTGCAGCTCCTCCGTAGTGTCGATTGACGGTGCTTTGCGCACCGGAGAAAAAACTTCTGTACCCCACAGACCAACAAGTTTTTTGAAATGTGGTCCATTCAGCCTGGCTAAAAGAGCATTCCTGAAGCAGCACAATCTGAGGTGCCTGCTCCTGGGTTTGGAGCAGCTGTTGTAAGGTCCACGATTGTTTGGGTCCTTGAGTGTTGCATGTCCAAACTGACACATGTTGATCTAAGTTGCGCAATTTTCGTGATCTTGGTCCTGGATGGGACGCTTCACCAATTCTCACAGCAACCTTATCATTATGGTCATGTTCTTTGGCTCTACGGCTGCGCTTGTTGGAGGATTGGGAGGCAAAAAGCTCCTCCCCCTGCTGCAGAGTCTTCCCCCATGCTTGACTGAGGGCTTTTTTTGGGGTTTTAGTTAAAGACTGCCAATATCTTTTCTGAGACTGGAAACCTTTGGAGGTGGGATCATGTCCCAGGCATGGATTCGTCCAGATTTTGACAGCACCAAGTGGATTAACCTTGTGGCAAATTTTACAGGTCAGGTATCCCTTGGGAAACTTTTTAGCAGTGGAGTCCGGGTGGCGCATGGCATCCGGCGGAAGGACCTCAGTAACTAAGTGCCCTGCAGCTTGCGCCGCCTGAAAAGTGGTGGCAAACGGACCGCTAAGCCACTTGGCTGGCCCTTTACCGTTGACTCTTTTTTTGGTTTGGAAGTTTGCATTTGCAACCTCGGCTTCAGTCATACCAAGTCCGTTTCTGATGGCACCTTGGTTCGCAGGGTGTCGCAAAGCCATGTTTCGGATCCAACCCAGCAATTGAGTCGGGATAGGTTGAGTTTCATCAGTGCATGCGGTGGTTTTGAATCTACATGGTGTCCCTTTTCGTCTGCATTTGGCACAAACAAGCACGGACGTCAAATCAAGTTTGCGTCTCTCTTCTTTGGGGTTATGTTTGAGAAGAATTTGGCGAACATCATGCCCCGTTTGCGGAGCCCAAACTTTCAGGTTGTCAGCGACCTTCTGTTGTTTGAGCTGACCTATATGTCTGCCTCGCAGTTTCATACGAGCTCGAAGGCCTTTGTCAGTTCTTTGTTTCTTCCTGTACGCCTGAGTTGGATTTGTGTCAGGGTGTGCCTCGGCAAAATGTTTGCGGACACTAGCTTCGTGCCAAACTTTTGGCAACAGTGGGAGTCCTTTCCCGCATTCTGGGCAACTCCAGGCTCTGCCACTTTCAGGAAGTTCCGAGGTCGGGACTGTGATCTGAGTTTGAGCACCGAGTCGCGGGCATTCAGCTCTTTCGGAATCTGTATGTCTATTTTTCAGGTGTGAACTTTTTGCAGCTTGAAGCTTGGCTCTCGCTTGCAAACCTGCAGGAATTCTGATTTCATGCCGGCAGTCAGGCAGCGGACAAACCCATACCTGAGGTCCTTGCGGTTTGGCAAGCGTCTTAGCATCCAGCCGCTTGAGGTGTCGAGGATATGGAGCAGTGTCAGGGCGAAAGTCGCATTCTGTGTTGTCATTTTTGACTGCGCCTTTGTCCTTAGTACCCGACCGGTCCTTGGTCAGGTTGTCTGTCAAATTGAGGTGAGTTTCTGAGGTTAAAGATAAAACCGAAGCTTTATCGTTCTCAGAGGGTGCAAGGAACTTCATGTCTTCAATCCTTGAGTCACAACTGCTTTGCTTGAACCTGCATCTTTTGAATGGTCTTGCAACCGTTTCACTCGGATGCTGCAACTGCTGGGATTTGATGGCAGCACGCGGAGGTTCGCAGGAGTGAGGGGAGGCAGCCAAGGTAAGAAGAGAGGGGGAGCGCGGAGGATGGGGTCGCGCAAGGGCACCCGAAGAACCACCACCCGCCGCATGGCCGTGCACAACCGCGCGCAGACGCGGAGGAGAAGACGCGGAAGGAACCAAGGAGTGCAGGGACGGCGCGCGCGTGATCATCACACCCCCACCCGAGGATCCGCGAAAGGAGGAGGCGGGGAGAGTATGGAGCGAAGGAGCATGGGAAGAGCCAGGGGAGAGCGTGTGCAGGGTTTTAGGCGATTCTCCAACGCTTGGTCCAGCGCCTCCAAGTGCTTCGGCCTCGGGTTTGGCTGTCTCTCGCGCCCAGTGTTTGGGCACCTTAGTCATGCCGTCCTGATCCTGGGGTGGTCGGACGGATTGATAATGTTTGTCGTTTCTGTACACCACCAGGATTGGTGCTTCTTTTTTCATTCTGGGCATCCCCTGTGGACTCCACTCAGGAGCGAAAGTGAATCTTTCCAGAACTTCATCTTTTTGATTCCACACCACTATGCAGCATGATTTCACCTCTGCTGCTGCTTGCAGCAGCAGTCCACATATCCAGTGAGTTTGCTTCAACGCATTGTCACAAAAGGCAGGAAAGGCCTCTTTCCCACCTCTGACATGGTTTTCGTACCTATCTTGATGTTTGCGAACATGTCGTACCACTTCCGTACGAAATAGATTGGCATTTTTGATGCATTCTTCTTTGGAAAGAGTCTCACCAGTGGTTTGATAATGAAAGTTGTCTATTAATGCCCGGTACCCACAGTCACCGCATCCACCTTGATCGGCCAGCGTCCAGTTTTGGGTTAAGGCATCCGTCAAATTACCAAGAGACTGCGAGGTTGGCTTTGAACTCTGCTTGTCAATCGCTTCAGGCTGAGTCTGAGAGTCCAACTGCGTTTTTTCGACTTCCATTGGGTCCTTATTTTCATCGCCCTTTTCGGGCTTCTCAGCGGCAGATCTGGACCGATGTCGCTCATCGGGTTCTTTGGCCTGCCTCTTCGCGGGGCGCCCCCGCGTGTTGGCCGTCTGTGGAGGCTGATCCTTAATTTCATCCCATGTCTTCCTTGGTCCTCTGACTGCAGTGGTGCTGTTTGGCGCTGCAGGTTTATGGACCGAGTCGTTGACTATTATGGTAAACACAGTGGCACCTTCATACACCCAAAGACCCTGGTCGTATGGGTATGCAACAGGAGGCATTCCACAGGCGTTCCAAAAAATTTTCTTGTTGACCCTTCTTCTATTGTGAATAGTCATTTGGGTCCATCCTTGTTGTTTGAGGAAATCAACCAGTTCTTCCGCCATCCAGTCCCTGGGAACTCCAGAAATCTGAATTCGTTTGGGTTTCTTTTCGATGTCTTCATCTGATTTCTTTGTGAAACCAATGTCATTTCCCAACCCTTTCCGTAAGCACATCGGCTGGCCTCTCTCGCCTGAAAGACGAAGGCATCTCTGGTAGTATGCTTCATCGGTTTCATCTTTTTCGTGTTTGGTCCACACAAAATGCGGACGTTCCTTAGAGGTATCAATATTCTTATTGATAAAAATACCTTTTTTCCCTGATTTTTCCAGGAGGGTTTCCGCATCTTTTTTGGTGAGCTTAAGCCATCCTACCAAACTTGAACTTTGTTTCTGCCATTCCTGTCTTTCCCACCTGCCACCTGTGAGGACATGTGCACGACATCCAAAAGTGGCCAAGTCGGAAATGACATCAACGACACGTTCCTTTTGGGGTTCAGATACAAAGAGTTCTCTATAGTGAGAGGGAACGACAATTCTGACCAATTCCCTTTCAACCGTAGTAACATTGTTGGGATCAACTTTAACAGGGTGAGTTCTCCAAGGGTAGTCAGAGCCTAAACCGAGCAAGGCAATGTCTTCGACCTTGGCATGTTGGTTTGTCCTTTGAAGCCTGGTCCTGCTCAGTGTGATGCCAAGCTGATTCATTGCATCAGCTGACAAAACCAAAGTGAGTCCTTTCGTGAAACCAAAGCTTGTGTACAAGTCACGAAGTTCTTGGGTGACCTGTCTGTCATGACTGCAGCAAATATTTCCATCCCAGTCTTTTCCTTCCTTAATGGCCTGGCAAACTGTTTGCGCATCCACAAGTTTGATTGGCTTGTTCCATTCAACTGGGTTGAGAGCTCGCACCTTGGCAAGGTTTGGAGTATTCTGTTGAGGTTTGTGAACCTCAGTGTCTTGTTTCTTTTCATTATGTCTGGGGTTGTGGTCCACTGTGGTAACTTTGTCACCACGCTTGTCCCACCACCACCATCCTGTTTGTGGGTCTCTGCAATACTGTTTCCACGCACCATTCATTTTCCACCATCCTGTCTCAAGAATGGTGTAGTCTTCATCTTTGTTGTCCCGCAGCTGCTCTTGTCTAGACGGGTCAGGTTTGGGCTCCTGTTTCACCGTTTTCTTTTTCTTAAACATCTTTTTGGGTGAATTTTGACCGACCACTTGACCTAACAAGGACATCACGGATTCAAACTCTTTCGGAAAAGAACCTTGGTTAAGACATACCTTCAAACCTTGGATCAAACTCCTAACCGCGGCGTTGTCATTGTCACTGTAATTCTTTTTCCTTTGCGTCCTTCGTTTATATCCACCTTGCAACCACTCAGAGGCAAAAATGCAATTGTTCGCATCAGGCTTGTACCAGCTCAGTGCATCATATCCAAGTGGCCATTCTTCGGGTCTCGGAAAACCCGAATAGAGGAAAGAGTATGACAGGGAAACATCCATGCCATTGGTTCGAACATATGTCCATCTCATCCGAAGCTTCAAAGCACATCGTCTGTGTTTCAGGCGTGCTTTTCCGAGTCTGTGCGTGCTGCATTTTCTAGCAGCACATGCAACATGTGGTTTCAACAACTTCTGACAGCGTTTGAGATCACTGCATTTTTTCACTGAGCGTTTGTTTTTCAAGCGTTTGATGATTCGTTTTCGTTTGCGTTTGTCTTGAGCCCGTTTGAGACATGCAAGCACAAATTGCTTAGTGACACCGTACCTAAGCAACCAGCCGCAAATTTCTCCCATGGTGCCCAAACAAAACCAGATAAGAAAGGGTGACCAATGAATTTTTTCATCAAACCATCCCATCTCAAAATTCCACATTTCGAGGGGAAAAGATTCCCAGGGGCGAAACCCAATTTTCCACCATTCCAAACCCAAATTCCACATTTTGGAGGAAACAAAATTCAGAGGGTAAAATCCAAACTTCCCATGGTGACACCTAGCGACCAAATCCAAAATCACATTGAGGATCCCAGGGAATTTACGTTTTGAGGGGTCAGAACCAGAACCGTAGGGGTGGATATCGAAAGTAGTTGCACTTACTTCCGTCAAAAGTCTGAAACCAGCTTCCACATCCACGGAGCCATATTCGCTCAGCGCATCTGCAATCTGCCGCCCGCTGCGAGGCACATCGATTGTCAGCTGCCATTTTTTCCCGTTGCGGGTCATCTCTGGGGGGCCGTTAGACTGAGTTGTGGCATTTTCCACAATCAATCCAGGGCGGCCGGTGTAATTGACGTCATGGTTGGCGGCCAGGTCCTTGTTGGTGTCAAATGCAGCACAGCAAGGCACAGACCAGCAAAGCATCAGCAGCCAGCCAGCCATCATCCTAGGATTGGCCTTATGGCTCTTGTCTTTTTTGGCGATTTGAAAAATCGCTCTCTTCGTGCAATGCACATTCAAATTCTTGAATTGGTTCTTTTTGTCTTCCTTTTTTGACTTTTGTTCTTTTTCTTTTTCTTTTGTATTTTTCTTTTCAAATTCTTCTGCAACAAACGTGGGCCATGCCACGTTAATTTTCTCTCCTGCCTGGCACCCGTGACGAGCCCGCAGCGACCGTGCCACTCTGCTGTGGCTGGAGGCGCAGGAGAAGCTGCTAACCTGAAATCTGGTGATGATGTAGACAATGACGCTGCCCGCACTTGCCCGCAGCCGCAGCGCAGGCCAGAGGCGATCGCCAGAATAGAATGGAGGTGGTTCTAGTCGTCGTGGCGCTGCTGCAACACATCAGCACGTGTTGCAGCTGCAAACCTTAGAAGTTTGTTGTCATGGTCCACCTTAGTAGGATCAGTAGTGGGCCATGCGAGTCTTTCCTGCAGCACATCGTGGGGTCTAATAGTAGGATCACGGTGTGGGTTCTGAGTACATTCCCAAAGCATGTGCTGCACAGTGGCACAAACATGTTGGCAATAAGGGCATGTTTCTTCAGCACCTCCCATGGCATTTCGACATTGAGGTGAAATGAAAGCACCAGTTACAACAGCCAGTTCGTGACTGTTGAGTTTTTTCTTGCGCAGAATATTAATGCGGGTCAGGTCACATGGAATGTCTGCACAAACCGTTGAGTCGCGTCGGTCAAGTTCCAAGAATTCCTCATATTTTCTGATTCGCCAAGCATCTCTGAGCCTATGTGACAGCACTTCGGTCGCCTTTTCAGGCAGCGTGGTTGGTTGAATCTGAATAGTTTCAAGCATCGGGTGCGTCCAGGTCCAACTACCAGCCTCAGCGAACCCAAGTTCTTGCATGCCTTTTCTAAAGCTACCCGTCCAGCCACTCATTTTGGGTGGCCAGTTTTGCAACTGCATCTGTGTTTTGTGAACATAGCGGGTGAGGACTCGGAGAGTCGTAACCGTGGCAGCAAAACCTAAGTCCCCCCAATGGCCAGTAAAAATTTGGAGTAAAGGTACGGCTGACTGCTTTGGCCACTGATGCAGCGCTTTTGCTCCCTGAAAGAAAGCGTTGCTTTCAGCATGAGTGGGTCTTCGAAACAGCCATCCCCAACTTGCTTTTGCTGGGGCACAAACCCTGGCAACTGCAGCTTTACGTGTTTTGGAACCTGGGAGGCACCTACATTTTCGAAGAACTTCTTTGGCCTCAGTGAGTCTTGTCAGTTCTCGGTCTTTGGCTTTTCTTTGGGTCACTCCCATGAACTGGAATCCCAACAAGGTGATGGAAGTGGAAACTGTTTCTGGAGGACAGCCGGCATCCTCGAGAGATCGGCAACCTTGAACGTTGCGGTGGTAATATTGCTCTTTGGTGGGGTTTTCTTGAAGACCAACCTTATTGCTCCAAACATGCCATTCATTTCGAACTTGCCATATTTCAGTCGCAGTGGAACAAGTGAAAGAACGATCATCGGCATATAAAGCTTGAACGCAACAAGGGTATTTTCTCTGAATGTGATTGGCAATGGGAGTAAGCAAAACACACATGCCTAACATGCTAAAGCAGTCACCTTGCGGCAGGGAGCGCTTGACAACATGGTTGTTTGGGAAAAATTCGTCATGGAGCTGAAGAAAACGGATTTGTTCGCTCCACATGCTTAACAACATGCGTGCAGCTTTGCGCGGCATACCTTGGTGGACAAAGAGTTTGCAGATTATCTCAGGGTCAGAATAATCGAAAGCTTTTGTCAGGTCAAGTGTACCAACCGGCCAGCTATGCATGTCTTTGAGGATTATGTGAGAGATAGCATCCTCAACACCTTTTTGGGGAATTCCCCCAAACATGAATTCGGGGGTGGATGTGTGGATCCATTCCTGAACCTCAGTTTGTTTGAATCTGGCTCGGCTGCAGATTCGCCAGATTATCGACATCACAGCTATGGGACGCATGTTGTCCGCCAGCATGCTGCCGTCAGCTTCAGGTGGTTTCCCTTTCGGGATATGCACTTGGCGAACACATCGCCATATGGTAGGAATGTTTCCGAGCTCTTCACAATGATCATAGAACTCGGACATGACCTGCCACATTTCGTCACTGAACAAACTAAGTTCCTCAGCTCTCCAGCCGTCAAGCCCCGGCACACTGCCGCGGCTACACTTGGTGGCAGAACGGAGTTGTTCCGGTGTGAGGCTTGGCCAGCTGTCAGGAGCAGGGCGTGGTGGAGTGTGAGTAACCAAATCATCCCAAATATCATCCCAAGAGATTTGACGTCTATTCCAAATATCGGCCCAAAATTCCCTGAGAATCCTCAGGCTGTCTTGGGTGGAGTGACTAGGAACAGAGTCTTTGGTTTTCTTAACCGCATTGCACATGGGAACAGATCTATGTCGCAGCCACCTGTATGCAGCCTTGTCATGTTCCATGTTGTTTCTCCATCGTTGAAGTCTGGTGTAGTCATCTTCATGATTGAACCGTTCCAAAAGCGTTTCAAGATGCCGAAGGTTTCTTTGTATACCCCAATCATGGTTGTACATAGAACACCGTCTGATTTTATTCCAGAGAACTCGGCTTTCAGTGATATTTTGCCTGTCTTGATCCAAGTTTCGCTGGGCTTCCCGCAACCTTCCAATCAATCTGCGCAGAACTCTTTGGCGGTGAGTAGCCATAGCTCCAGCAGGATGTCGTTTCATGTGTTCTTTCTGTTTAAGAGAGACCTCAGTGGCCTTTCCTTTCCTCAGTAAGGCCGGAGACACTCGCTGCAGCATGTCAGGGGCAGCAGCCCTGACTGCACAAACTAGGGCTTGAAAAAAAGTTTGCGAAAGCATCTGCCAGTCCTGGTCAACATTGACTGACCATCGCTCTGGAAGTTGTGTGGAAAACTGCGGCCAGAGCTGAGCCAATTTGATTTGGATTCGTTCAGCAACTTCCGGGTCCTTCGGGAGGATTCTAGGAATGTTGGCTTGTTGGAAACCTAAAACAGGTTCGGTAGATAAATCGAAAAAAGTTTTGACAATTTTGTGGTCGGCTACAACATCAGGAAGCGTTTCGACCTCAGTGGGCTCAAGGTTACTGATATAGTAGTCAATATCGCGGTTTCCTTGCCACCGCGTTGGGGTTTGAGTGGCATGAATACGAAATTCCCTAGGAATGAAGAAAGGGATTCTCTTCGGGTGTGGCATTGTAATCCCCCCCCAAAATAAAACGATGTCTTGGAGCGAGAGAGTGGACAGTTTGAGCCACAGCTGCACTCACGGTTTCTGCATCACTGTTAGGAGCCAGGTAAGTGGAGATGACCAGAGTTGATCCCACCCACACAGCTTGGGCACTACCTCCTTTGTGAGTGTGTGACCAGGCCGGTCTACAAGGTAGTGAAGATTTAACCAAGACTGCAGCTCCTCCGTAGTGTCGATTGACGGTGCTTTGCGCACCGGAGAAAAAACTTCTGTACCCCACAGACCAACAAGTTTTTTGAAATGTGGTCCATTCAGCCTGGCTAAAAAAAAACCTTTCTGAAGCAGCACAATCTGAGGTGCCTGCTCCTGGGTTTGGAGCAGCTGTTGTAAGGTCCACGATTGTTTGGGTCCTTGAGTGTTGCATGTCCAAACTGACACATGTTGATCCAAGTTGCGTAATTTTCGTGATCTTGGTCCTGGATGGGACGCTTCACCAATTCTCACAGCAACCTTATCATTATGGTCATGTTCTTTGGCTCTACGGCTGCGCTTGTTGGAGGATTGGGAGGCAAAAAGCTCCTCCCCCTGCTGCAGGGTCTTCCCCCATGCTTGACTGAGGGTTTTTTTTTGGGGGTTTTAGTTAAAGATTGCCAATATCTTTCCTGAGACTGGAAACCTTTGGAGGTGGGATCATGTCCCAGGCATGGATTCGTCCAGATTTTGACAGCACCAAGTGGATTAACCTTGTGGCAAATTTTACAGGTCAGGTATCCCTTGGGAAACTTTTTAGCAGTGGAGTCCGGGTGGCGCATGGCATCCGGCGGAGGGACCTCAGTAACTAAGTGCCCTGCAGCTTGCGCCGCCTGAAAAGTGGTGGCAAACGGACCGCTAAGCCACTTGGCTGGCCCTTTACCGTAGACTCTTTTTTTTGGTTTGGAAGTTTGCATTTGCAACCTCGGCTTCAGTCATACCAAGTCCGTTTCTGATGGCACCTTGGTTCGCAGGGTGTCGCAAAGCCATGTTTCGGATCCAACCCAGCAATTGAGTCGGGATAGGTTGAGTTTCATCAGTGCATGCGGTGGTTTTGAATCTACATGGTGTCCCTTTTCGTCTGCATTTGGCACAAACAAGCACGGACGTCAAATCAAGTTTGCGTCTCTCTTCTTTGGGGTTATGTTTGAGAAGAATTTGGCGAACATCATGCCCCGTTTGCGGAGCCCAAACTTTCAGGTTGTCAGCGACCTTCTGTTGTTTGAGCTGACCTATATGTCTGCCTCGCAGTTTCATACGAGCTCGAAGGCCTTTGTCAGTTCTTTGTTTCTTCCTGTACGCCTGAGTTGGATTTGTGTCAGGGTGTGCCTCGGCAAAATGTTTGCGGACACTAGCTTCGTGCCAAACTTTTGGCAACAGTGGGAGTCCTTTCCCGCATTCTGGGCAACTCCAGGCTCTGCCACTTTCAGGAAGTTCCGAGGTCGGGACTGTGATCTGAGTTTGAGCACCGAGTCGCGGGCATTCAGCTCTTTCGGAATCTGTATGTCTATTTTTCAGGTGTGAACTTTTTGCAGCTTGAAGCTTGACTCTCGCTTGCAAACCTGCAGGAATTCTGATTTCATGCCGGCAGTCAGGCAGCGGACAAACCCATACCTGAGGTCCTTGCGGTTTGGCAAGCGTCTTAGCATCCAGCCGCTTGAGGTGTCGAGGATATGGAGCAGTGTCAGGGCGAAAGTCGCATTCTGTGTTGTCATTTTTGACTGCGCCTTTGTCCTTAGTACCCGACCGGTCCTTGGTCAGGTTGTCTGTCAAATTGAGGTGAGTTTCTGAGGTTAAAGATAAAACCGAAGCTTTATCGTTCTCAGAGGGTGCAAGAAACTTCATGTCTTCAATCCTTGAGTCACAACTGCTTTGCTTGAACCTGCATCTTTTGAATGGTCTTGCAACCGTTTCACTCGGATGCTGCAACTGCTGGGATTTGATGGCAGCACGCGGAGGTTCGCAGGAGTGAGGGGAGGCAGCCAAGGTAAGAAGAGAGGGGGAGCGCGGAGGATGGGGTCGCGCAAGGGCACCCGAAGAACCACCACCCGCCGCATGGCCGTGCACAACCGCGCGCAGACGCGGAGGAGAAGACGCGGAAGGAACCAAGGAGTGCAGGGACGGCGCGCGCGTGATCATCACACCCCCACCGAGGATCCGCGAAAGGAGGAGGCGGGGAGAGTATGGAGCGAAGGAGCATGGGAAGAGCCAGGGAAGAGCGTGTGCAGGGTTTTAGGCGATTCTCCAACGCTTGGTCCAGCGCCTCCAAGTGCTTCGGCCTCGGGTTTGGCTGTCTCTCGCGCCCAGTGTTTGGGCACCTTAGTCATGCCGTCCTGATCCTGGGGTGGTCGGACGGATTGATAATGTTTGTCGTTTCTGTACACCACCAGGATTGGTGCTTCTTTTTTCATTCTGGCCATCCCCTGTGGACTCCACTCAGGAGCGAAAGTGAATCTTTCCAGAACTTCATCTTTTTGATTCCACACCACTATGCAGCATGATTTCACCTCTGCTGCCGCTTGCAGCAGCAGTCCACATATCCAGTGAGTTTGCTTCAACGCATTGTCACAAAAGGCAGGAAAGGCCTCTTTCCCACCTCTGACATGGTTTTCGTACCTATCTTGATGTTTGCGAACATGTCGTACCACTTCCGTACGAAATAGATTGGCATTTTTGATGCATTCTTCTTTGGAAAGAGTCTCACCAGTGGTTTGATAATGAAAGTTGTCTATTAATGCCTGGTACCCACAGTCACCGCATCCACCTTGATCGGCCAGCGTCCAGTTTTGGGTTAAGGCATCCGTCAAATTACCAAGAGACTGCGAGGTTGGCTTTGAACTCTGCTTGTCAATCGCTTCAGGCTGAGTCTGAGAGTCCAACTGCGTTTTTTCGACTTCCATTGGGTCCTTATTTTCATCGCCCTTTTCGGGCTTCTCAGCGGCAGATCTGGACCGATGTCGCTCATCGGGTTCTTTGGCCTGCCTCTTCGCGGGGCGCCCCCGCGTGTTGGCCGTCTGTGGAGGCTGATCCTTAATTTCATCCCATGTCTTCCTTGGTCCTCTGACTGCAGTGGTGCTGTTTGGCGCTGCAGGTTTATGGACCGAGTCGTTGACTATTATGGTAAACACAGTGGCACCTTCATACACCCAAAGACCCTGGTCGTATGGGTATGCAACAGGAGGCATTCCACAGGCGTTCCAAAAAATTTTCTTGTTGACCCTTCTTCTATTGTGAATAGTCATTTGGGTCCATCCTTGTTGTTTGAGGAAATCAACCAGTTCTTCCGCCATCCAGTCCCTGGGAACTCCAGAAATCTGAATTCGTTTGGGTTTCTTTTCGATGTCTTCATCTGATTTCTTTGTGAAACCAATGTCATTTCCCAACCCTTTCCGTAAGCACATCGGCTGGCCTCTCTCGCCTGAAAGACGAAGGCATCTCTGGTAGTATGCTTCATCGGTTTCATCTTTTTCGTGTTTGGTCCACACAAAATGCGGACGTTCCTTAGAGGTATCAATATTCTTATTGATAAAAATACCTTTTTTCCCTGATTTTTCCAGGAGGGTTTCCGCATCTTTTTTGGTGAGCTTAAGCCATCCTACCAAACTTGAACTTTGTTTCTGCCATTCCTGTCTTTCCCACCTGCCACCTGTGAGGACATGTGCACGACATCCAAAAGTGGCCAAGTCGGAAATGACATCAACGACACGTTCCTTTTGGGGTTCAGATACAAAGAGTTCTCTATAGTGAGAGGGAACGACAATTCTGACCAATTCCCTTTCAACCGTAGTAACATTGTTGGGATCAACTTTAACAGGGTGAGTTCCCCAAGGGTAGTCAGAGCCTAAACCGAACAAGGCAATGCCTTCGACCTTGGCATGTTGGTTTGTCCTTTGAAGCCTGGTCCTGCTCAGTGTGATGCCAAGCTGATTCATTGCATCAGCTGACAAAACCAAAGTGAGTCCTTTCGTCAAACCAAAGCTTGTGTACAAGTCGCGAAGTTCTTGGGTGACCTTTCTGTCATGACTGCAGCAAATATTTCCATCCCAGTCTTTTCCTTCCTTAATGGCCTGGCAAACTGTTTGCGCATCCACAAGTTTGATTGGTTTGTTCCATTCAACTGGGTTGAGAGCTCGCACCTTGGCAAGGTTTGGAGTATTCTGTTGAGGTTTGCGAACCTCAGTGTCTTGTTTCTTTTCATTATGTCTGGGGTTGTGGTCCACTGTGGTAACTTTGTCACCACGCTTGTCCCACCACCACCATCCTGTTTGTGGGTCTCTGCAATACTGTTTCCACGCACCATTCATTTTCCACCATCCTGTCTCAAGAATGGTGTATTCTTCATCTTTGTTGTCCCGCAGCTGCTCTTGTCTAGACGGGTCAGGTTTGGGCTCCTGTTTCACCGTTTTCTTTTTCTTAAACATCTTTTTGGGTGAATTTTGACCGACCACTTGACCTAACAAGGACATCACGGATTCAAACTCTTTCGGAAAAGAACCTTGGTTAAGACATACCTTCAAACCTTGGATCAAACTCCTAACCGCGGCGTTGTCATTGTCACTGTAATTCTTTTTCCTTTGCGTCCTTCGTTTATATCCACCTTGCAACCACTCAGAGGCAAAAATGCAATTGTTCGCATCAGGCTTGTACCAGCTCAGTGCATCATATCCAAGTGGCCATTCTTCGGGTCTCGGAAAACCCGAATAGAGGAAAGAGTATGACAGGGAAACATCCATGCCATTGGTTCGAACATATGTCCATCTCATCCGAAGCTTCAAAGCACATCGTCTGTGTTTCAGGCATGCTTTTCCGAGTCTGTGCGTGCTGCATTTTCTAGCAGCACATGCAACATGTGGTTTCAACAACTTCTGACAGCGTTTGAGATCACTGCATTTTTTCACTGAGCGTTTGTTTTTCAAGCGTTTGATGATTCGTTTTCGTTTGCGTTTGTCTTGAGCCCGTTTGAGACATGCAAGCACAAATTGCTTAGTGACACCGTACCTAAGCAACCAGCCGCAAATTTCTCCCATGGTGCCCAAACAAAACCAGATAAGAAAGTTTTGCCTGTACTGGTCGAAGAACGCGCCGGCAGCAGCGCAAGAACAGCACAGGGAGGCAGCGCCAGAGCGCTGCGACACCACCCTAAGAAAATGAGACGGGTACCTAAGTAGGTTTCAAGAAGCAACCTTAGCCCAACAGGGAGACACGACCCACCAGCAGTCACAAACCAGATCATCCATCCCCTTTGGGGTACCTAAGGGACCAAATGGTCTGAACCACTTTTCCCATCCAAACGGCATGTTCAGAAGAACACCCCATTTTCCACCATCCGAAACGTTTAAGGATGGGGTCATTCGCCACCAGGTTGCTGGGTCTAAGTTCACATTCCCAGCATATATGGTCCCAGTTCCCAAGACCACCACAGTTCCAGATACAAGAGGTATCAAAAGGACCTCCGTTCTGAAAGCAAGCAGGGCTGCACGCCGCACCAAGAAGCACCGTACGAAAGGAAGAGTTGACATCCAACAACTTTCTCATACCTTTAAAATCGAATTGTAAGAAATCCTGAATGGTATAATCAAAGTCCAGATTGTCATGTCTGTCCTGGTCAAGAAATGATGTTGTAGACAATGACGCTGCCCGCACTTGCCCGCAGCCGCAGCGCAGGCCAGAGGCGATCGCCGAAATAGAATGGAGGTGGTTCTAGTCGTCGTGGCGCTGCTGCAACACATCAGCACGTGTTGCAGCTGCAAACCTTAGTAATTTGTTGTCATGGTCCACCTTAGTAGGATCAGTAGTGGGCCATGCGAGTCTTTCCTGCAGCACATCGTGGGGTCTAATAGTAGGATCACGGTGTGGGTTCTGAGTACATTCCCAAAGCATGTGCTGCACAGTGGCACAAACATGTTGGCAATAAGGGCATGTTTCTTCAGCACCTCCCATGGCATTTCGACATTGAGGTGAAATGAAAGCACCAGTTACAACAGCCAGTTCGTGACTGTTGAGTTTTTTCTTGCGCAGAATATTAATGCGGGTCAGGTCACATGGAATGTCTGCACAAACCGTTGAGTCGCGTCGGTCAAGTTCCAAGAATTCCTCATATTTTCTGATTCGCCAAGCATCTCTGAGCCTATGTGACAGCACTTCGGTCGCCTTTTCAGGCAGCGTGGTTGGTTGAATCTGAATAGTTTCAAGCATCGGGTGCGTCCAGGTCCAACTACCAGCCTCAGCGAACCCAAGTTCTTGCATGCCTTTTCTAAAGCTACCCGTCCAGCCACTCATTTTGGGTGGCCAGTTTTGCAACTGCATCTGTGTTTTGTGAACATAGCGGGTGAGGACTCGGAGAGTCGTAACCGTGGCAGCAAAACCTAAGTCCCACCAATGGCCAGTAAAAATTTGGAGTAAAGGTACGGCTGACTGCTTTGGCCACTGATGCAGCGCTTTTGCTCCCTGAAAGAAAGCGTTGCTTTCAGCATGAGTGTGTCTTCGAAACAGCCATCCCCAACTTGCTTTTGCTGGGGCACAAACCCTGGCAACTGCAGCTTTACGTGTTTTGGAACCTGGGAGGCACCTACATTTTCGAAGAACTTCTTTGGCCTCAGTGAGTCTTGTCAGTTCTCGGTCTTTGGCTTTTCTTTGGGTCACTCCCATGAACTGGAATCCCAACAAGGTGATGGAAGTGGAAACTGTTTCTGGAGGACAGCCGGCATCCTCGAGAGATCGGCAACCTTGAACGTTGCGGTGGTAATATTGCTCTTTGGTGGGGTTTTCTTGAAGACCAACCTTATTGCTCCAAACATGCCATTCATTTCGAACTTGCCATATTTCAGTCGCAGTGGAACAAGTGAAAGAACGATCATCGGCATATAAAGCTTGAACGCAACAAGGGTATTTTCCCTGAATGTGATTGGCAATGGGAGTAAGCAAAACACACATGCCTAACATGCTAAAGCAGTCACCTTGCGGCAGGGAGCGCTTGACAACATGGTTGTTTGGGAAAAATTCGTCATGGAGCTGAAGAAAACGGATTTGTTCGCTCCACATGCTTAACAACATGCGTGCAGCTTTGCGCGGCATACCTTGGTGGACAAAGAGTTTGCAGATTATCTCAGGGTCAGAATAATCGAAAGCTTTTGTCAGGTCAAGTGTACCAACCGGCCAGCTATGCATGTCTTTGAGGATTATGTGAGAGATAGCATCCTCAACACCTTTTTGGGGAATTCCCCCAAACATGAATTCGGGGGTGGATGTGTGGATCCATTCCTGAACCTCAGTTTGTTTGAATCTGGCTCGGCTGCAGATTCGCCAGATTATCGACATCACAGCTATGGGACGCATGTTGTCCGCCAGCATGCTGCCGTCAGCTTCAGGTGGTTTCCCTTTCGGGATATGCACTTGGCGAACACATCGCCATATGGTAGGAATGTTTCCGAGCTCTTCACAATGATCATAGAACCCGGACATGACCTGCCACATTTCGTCACTGAACAAACTAAGTTCCTCAGCTCTCCAGCCGTCAAGCCCCGGCGCACTGCCGCGGCTACACTTGGTGGCAGAACGGAGTTGTTCCGGTGTGAGGCTTGGCCAGCTGTCAGGAGCAGGGCGTGGTGGAGTGTGAGTAACCAAATCATCCCAAATATCATCCCAAGAGATTTGACGTCTATTCCAAATATCGGCCCAAAATTCCCTGAGAATCCTCAGGCTGTCTTGGGTGGAGTGACTAGGAACAGAGTCTTTGGTTTTCTTAACCGCATTGCACATGGGAACAGATCTATGTCGCAGCCACCTGTATGCAGCCTTGTCATGTTCCATGTTGTTTCTCCATCGTTGAAGTCTGGTGTAGTCATCTTCATGATTGAACCGTTCCAAAAGCGTTTCAAGATGCCGAAGGTTCTTTGTATACCCCAATCATGGTTGTACATAGAACACCGTCTGATTTTATTCCAGAGAACTCGGCTTTCAGTGATATTTTGCCTGTCTTGATCCAAGTTTCGCTGGGCTTCCCGCAACCTTCCAATCAATCTGCGCAGAACTCTTTGGCGGTGAGTAGCCATAGCTCCAGCAGGATGTCGTTTCATGTGTTCTTTCTGTTTAAGAGAGACCTCAGTGGCCTTTCCTTTCCTCAGTAAGGCCGGAGACACTCGCTGCAGCATGTCAGGGGCAGCAGCCCTGACTGCACAAACTAGGGCTTGAAAAAAGTTTGCGAAAGCATCTGCCAGTCCTGGTCAACATTGACTGACCATCGCTCTGGAAGTTGTGTGGAAAACTGCGGCCAGAGCTGAGCCAATTTGATTTGGATTCGTTCAGCAACTTCCGGGTCCTTCGGGAGGATTCTAGGAATGTTGGCTTGTTGGAAACCTAAAACAGGTTCGGTAGATAAATCGAAAAAAGTTTTGACAATTTTGTGGTCGGCTACAACATCAGGAAGCGTTTCGACCTCAGTGGGCTCAAGGTTACTGATATAGTAGTCAATATCGCGGTTTCCTTGCCACCGCGTTGGGGTTTGAGTGGCATGAATACGAAATTCCCTAGGAATCAAGAAATGAAGAAAGGGATTCTCTTCGGGTGTGGCATTGTAATCCCCCCCCAAAATAAAACGATGTCTTGGAGCGAGAGAGTGGACAGTTTGAGCCACAGCTGCACTCACGGTTTCTGCATCACTGTTAGGAGCCATGTAAGTGGAGATGACCAGAGTTGATCCCACCCACACAGCTTGGGCACTACCTCCTTTGTGAGTGTGTGACCAGGCCGGTCTACAAGGTAGTGAAGATTTAACCAAGACTGCAGCTCCTCCGTAGTGTCGATTGACGGTGCTTTGCGCACCGGAGAAAAAACTTCTGTACCCCACAGACCAACAAGTTTTTTGAAATGTGGTCCATTCAGCCTGGCTAAAAGAGCATTCCTGAAGCAGCACAATCTGAGGTGCCTGCTCCTGGGTTTGGAGCAGCTGTTGTAAGGTCCACGATTGTTTGGGTCCTTGAGTGTTGCATGTCCAAACTGACACATGTTGATCCAAGTTGCGCAATTTTCGTGATCTTGGTCCTGGATGGGACGCTTCACCAATTCTCACAGCAACCTTATCATTATGGTCATGTTCTTTGGCTCTACGGCTGCGCTTGTTGGAGGATTGGGAGGCAAAAAGCTCCTCCCCCTGCTGCAGAGTCTTCCCCATGCTTGACTGAGGGCTTTTTTTTGGGTTTTAGTTAAAGACTGCCAATATCTTTTCTGAGACTGGAAACCTTTGGAGGTGGGATCATGTCCCAGGCATGGATTCGTCCAGATTTTGACAGCACCAAGTGGATTAACCTTGTGGCAAATTTTACAGGTCAGGTATCCCTTGGGAAACTTTTTAGCAGTGGAGTCCGGGTGGCGCATGGCATCCGGCGGAAGGACCTCAGTAACTAAGTGCCCTGCAGCTTGCGCCGCCTGAAAAGTGGTGGCAAACGGACCGCTAAGCCACTTGGCTGGCCCTTTACCGTTGACTCTTTTTTTGGTTTGGAAGTTTGCATTTGCAACCTCGGCTTCAGTCATACCAAGTCCGTTTCTGATGGCACCTTGGTTCGCAGGGTGTCGCAAAGCCATGTTTCGGATCCAACCCAGCAATTGAGTCGGGATAGGTTGAGTTTCATCAGTGCATGCGGTGGTTTTGAATCTACATGGTGTCCCTTTTCGTCCGCATTTGGCACAAACAAGCACGGACGTCAAATCAAGTTTGCGTCTCTCTTCTTTGGGGTTATGTTTGAGAAGAATTTGGCGAACATCATGCCCCGTTTGCGGAGCCCAAACTTTCAGGTTGTCAGCGACCTTCTGTTGTTTGAGCTGACCTATATGTCTGCCTCGCAGTTTCATACGAGCTCGAAGGCCTTTGTCAGTTCTTTGTTTCTTCCTGTACGCCTGAGTTGGATTTGTGTCAGGGTGTGCCTCGGCAAAATGTTTGCGGACACTAGCTTCGTGCCAAACTTTTGGCAACAGTGGGAGTCCTTTCCCGCATTCTGGGCAACTCCAGGCTCTGCCACTTTCAGGAAGTTCCGAGGTCGGGACTGTGATCTGAGTTTGAGCACCGAGTCGCGGGCATTCAGCTCTTTCGGAATCTGTATGTCTATTTTTCAGGTGTGAACTTTTTGCAGCTTGAAGCTTGGCTCTCGCTTGCAAACCTGCAGGAATTCTGATTTCATGCCGGCAGTCAGGCAGCGGACAAACCCATACCTGAGGTCCTTGCGGTTTGGCAAGCGTCTTAGCATCCAGCCGCTTGAGGTGTCGAGGATATGGAGCAGTGTCAGGGCGAAAGTCGCATTCTGTGTTGTCATTTTTGACTGCGCCTTTGTCCTTAGTACCCGACCGGTCCTTGGTCAGGTTGTCTGTCAAATTGAGGTGAGTTTCTGAGGTTAAAGATAAAACCGAAGCTTTATCGTTCTCAGAGGGTGCAAGAAACTTCATGTCTTCAATCCTTGAGTCACAACTGCTTTGCTTGAACCTGCATCTTTTGAATGGTCTTGCAACCGTTTCACTCGGATGCTGCAACTGCTGGGATTTGATGGCAGCACGCGGAGGTTCGCAGGAGTGAGGGGAGGCAGCCAAGGTAAGAAGAGAGGGGGAGCGCGGAGGATGGGGTCGCGCAAGGGCACCCGAAGAACCACCACCCGCCGCATGGCCGTGCACAACCGCGCGCAGACGCGGAGGAGAAGACGCGGAAGGAACCAAGGAGTGCAGGGACGGCGCGCGCGTGATCATCACACCCCCACCCGAGGATCCGCGAAAGGAGGAGGCGGGGAGAGTATGGAGCGAAGGAGCATGGGAAGAGCCAGGGGAGAGCGTGTGCAGGGTTTTAGGCGATTCTCCAACGCTTGGTCCAGCGCCTCCAAGTGCTTCGGCCTCGGGTTTGGCTGTCTCTCGCGCCCAGTGTTTGGGCACCTTAGTCATGCCGTCCTGATCCTGGGGTGGTCGGACGGATTGATAATGTTTGTCGTTTCTGTACACCACCAGGATTGGTGCTTCTTTTTTCATTCTGGGCATCCCCTGTGGACTCCACTCAGGAGCGAAAGTGAATCTTTCCAGAACTTCATCTTTTTGATTCCACACCACTATGCAGCATGATTTCACCTCTGCTGCTGCTTGCAGCAGCAGTCCACATATCCAGTGAGTTTGCTTCAACGCATTGTCACAAAAGGCAGGAAAGGCCTCTTTCCCACCTCTGACATGGTTTTCGTACCTATCTTGATGTTTGCGAACATGTCGTACCACTTCCGTACGAAATAGATTGGCATTTTTGATGCATTCTTCTTTGGAAAGAGTCTCACCAGTGGTTTGATAATGAAAGTTGTCTATTAATGCCCGGTACCCACAGTCACCGCATCCACCTTGATCGGCCAGCGTCCAGTTTTGGGTTAAGGCATCCGTCAAATTACCAAGAGACTGCGAGGTTGGCTTTGAACTCTGCTTGTCAATCGCTTCAGGCTGAGTCTGAGAGTCCAACTGCGTTTTTTCGACTTCCATTGGGTCCTTATTTTCATCGCCCTTTTCGGGCTTCTCAGCGGCAGATCTGGACCGATGTCGCTCATCGGGTTCTTTGGCCTGCCTCTTCGCGGGGCGCCCCCGCGTGTTGGCCGTCTGTGGAGGCTGATCCTTAATTTCATCCCATGTCTTCCTTGGTCCTCTGACTGCAGTGGTGCTGTTTGGCGCTGCAGGTTTATGGACCGAGTCGTTGACTATTATGGTAAACACAGTGGCACCTTCATACACCCAAAGACCCTGGTCGTATGGGTATGCAACAGGAGGCATTCCACAGGCGTTCCAAAAAATTTTCTTGTTGACCCTTCTTCTATTGTGAATAGTCATTTGGGTCCATCCTTGTTGTTTGAGGAAATCAACCAGTTCTTCCGCCATCCAGTCCCTGGGAACTCCAGAAATCTGAATTCGTTTGGGTTTCTTTTCGATGTCTTCATCTGATTTCTTTGTGAAACCAATGTCATTTCCCAACCCTTTCCGTAAGCACATCGGCTGGCCTCTCTCGCCTGAAAGACGAAGGCATCTCTGGTAGTATGCTTCATCGGTTTCATCTTTTTCGTGTTTGGTCCACACAAAATGCGGACGTTCCTTAGAGGTATCAATATTCTTATTGATAAAAATACCTTTTTTCCCTGATTTTTCCAGGAGGGTTTCCGCATCTTTTTTGGTGAGCTTAAGCCATCCTACCAAACTTGAACTTTGTTTCTGCCATTCCTGTCTTTCCCACCTGCCACCTGTGAGGACATGTGCACGACATCCAAAAGTGGCCAAGTCGGAAATGACATCAACGACACGTTCCTTTTGGGGTTCAGATACAAAGAGTTCTCTATAGTGAGAGGGAACGACAATTCTGACCAATTCCCTTTCAACCGTAGTAACATTGTTGGGATCAACTTTAACAGGGTGAGTTCTCCAAGGGTAGTCAGAGCCTAAACCGAGCAAGGCAATGTCTTCGACCTTGGCATGTTGGTTTGTCCTTTGAAGCCTGGTCCTGCTCAGTGTGATGCCAAGCTGATTGATGATCACTTATCCATGAACTGCCCCCAAGTAGACAGCGCATGAGCGCTGGGGAGCAGAAATCTGCCCCCGCAGCAGACCGCAGCAAGGAGGCCGCAGCCCAGAAGGAGCCGCGGAAACCACAACCACCCCAAACCAAAAAGGGGGGAAAACCCAACGGAACCAACCACCACCCAGAGCCAGCCACCCGAAGCACGGACGAAACCACGCTCCAGGCAGCCGAGCCACCAAAGGCACGAATGAAACCATCGCACCCCAGGTAACGAGTGAAGTGAGCAAATGAAGACCAATGGCCGCCGAAATGCCAAAAGGACAAAGCAACAAGCCAAACAACAATCCAAGCCATCAAGCAGACGGATGAGCAAGTTCCCACAACAAGCGCTGCACATAAACAAGCCAGTCTTGAACAGCAACGATGTCAGCTCTCCGATTGGTGATGACCCAACCATAACGAGAAGAGAGGCCCTCGTTAGGTTTAGGAGGAATGTCCAAATCGGGAGGCCGATAAGGACAACACCAGCAAATATGCTCAAACGTGCCAAGCTCACCGCAACCATTAACCTCAGCAATTGTGTGTGGACTTTGTGAAGTGAACGGCCCCCAAGTAGACCGCGCACTGGTGAAGGGCAGCCGCCGCAGCAGATGCCAACACGACCACACCAAGGAAACAAACGGCCGAAGGCCGCCTAAGAGACCACCCAACCCCAACAAAGGGGGAAAAACAACCAAACCAAACCAACCCACCAGCCAACCCCACATAGGCACAGACCAGAAGCCCACGCCCACAGGAGCTGATCGCAGGCAGGAGCGGACGAGAACACCGCACCCACCAGCACAAGGCAGAAAGGCACCAATGGCAAGTCGGATGCTGGGCGAACAAGCAAGCAAACAAGTCAATCATGGACATGCGACCAGATAACCTTCTGAACACGCACAAGCCAAGCTTGGACAGCAACATTATCAACAGCCCGATTGGTGATAGCCCATCCGAAACGAGAAGACAAAAACTCTCCAGGTTTAGGAGGAATCACCAAATCGATCGGCCTGCAAGGACAACTCCAAGCAATATGGTCAAATGTCCCAAGCTGAGAACAACCGGGCCAAACACATGTCAAGGGAACACCAGCAAGACGGCCACCGAGTGCCGCAGGCGAATTGCAACCGCCAGTGCAAATCAAGTAGACAGCAATTGTTCATCACTTTATCCATGAACTGCCCCCAAGTAGACAGCGCATGAGCGCTGGGGAGCAGAAATCTGCCCCCGCAGCAGACCGCAGCAAGGAGGCCGCAGCCCAGAAGGAGCCGCGGAAACCACAACCACCCCAAACCAAAAAGGGGGGAAAACCCAACGGAACCAACCACCACCCGGAGCCAGCCACCCGAAGCACGGACGAAACCACGCTCCAGGCAGCCGAGCCACCAAAGGCACGAATGAAACCATCGCACCCCAGGTAACGAGTGAAGTGAGCAAATGAAGACCAATGGCCGCCGAAATGCCAAAAGGACAAAGCAACAAGCCAAACAACAAGCCAAGCCATCAAGCAGAAGGATGAGCAAGTTCCCACAACAAGCGCTGCACATAAACAAGCCAGTCTTGAACAGCAACGATGTCAGCTCTCTAATTGGTGATGACCCAACCATAACGAGAAGAGAGGCCCTCGTTAGGTTTCGGAGGAATGTCCAAATCGGGAGGCCGATAAGGACAACACCAGCAAATATGCTCAAACGTGCCAAGCTCACCGCAACCATTCCAGATGCAGGAAGTCGTCAACTCACCGGGCCCGCGGCCACCACGGGCAGCAGGGGAGAAAAGCGCACCAACACAAACAGAACGAGCCTCCGCGCACGAAGCAGCCCAAGCACGGGTCGCAGCCCAATCGATTCTCTTGAAGTAACCGGCATGGAAACAATCCAACGCAGAATCACGACGAGAAGACGACATGTGACGGCGCAAGCACCAAGCACGCCAAGCGTCACGAACCATGTGCTGCCAATAACCATCTTCACCATGATGACCATCATCATTCAAGTTCAACGTGTGACCGGTATCAGCATGAGTCCATTTCCACTCAGCATCAAACGACCAACCACGAGAACGGAGCAAAGCATTCAAAGCACACGCTGGCGAACCGCCACGAGTGCACCAAGTCAAAGTCCGGTGCCGACGCAAGCGCGCAAGAATGCCAACCCGCTGGGTAGCGAAGATGATATCCAAATGCATGCCACCACCGAACAAAGCAGCCCGAAGCCAAACAGAAGCAAGCCAAAGACGACGACTGCCAACATGCACTTGACTCCACAAATGGGTGCACAAGGTCAAAGGAGGCGCACGGGCAATCCAACCATAGGCAACTTTCGACACCGCAAATTGCTACAAGCTCTCATGTCCCGCTCAAAAGGCAAGCGAACGCAAGATAAACAAAGTCAGGGTCCGTTTACAAGCGTCGACCCTACCAGCCTCTTTCCCAAAGAGGCCACGTCTGGTAACCATGCTGCACGAAGCAAGAATTTCCACATCATTGCGAACCGCATCAGGCAAAACCCTCCGCAACGTGGCGCGCCGCGCAGGGGTGGACGCAACAGCAACAGCTTTGACCTGGTTCTCTTGCAGCCCAACCGACCAAGACCAGCTGGACCACTGATGGAACCTGTCATGATGAGACCAAATGCGAGACGTCCCAAAAGAACGATCATCAACATACACGCGCGTCATGATATGAGGATCAGGCCTGGAATGTCGTTTAACCTCAGCAATTGACGAAGTGTAGATGATGATACAGCCCGCAGCCCGCAGCAGCAGCAGCAAGCGCCGCAGCTACCAGAGCATTCGGGGCATGCACCACATTCAAGCGTCATTACACCTCAGTGTTTTTTCTGGCCTCCAGGGTCCGTTTTCGAACCTCAGCAAGCCAGATACGACAGGCAGGACGAGCACCTGGCATGCTCCAACCTAGTCGCCTTTCAAGATCATCAGCAGGGTGAACATCTGAAGGCCGATTGTTGCTCTTGCACAACCATGCACAGTGCTCCAACGTTGCTTTTTCTGCATTCACACCACAATATGGGCATCCAGGGACGTCATCACATCCAGTCATTCTTTGGAAGCATGCTGGAGACACAAACGCCCCCGTTGCTACTACAAGTTCATCAGAGGAAAGAGGCCTTTTGTCTCAAAGCCTGTACCCTGTGTTCATCATACGCAGGAAGCACAACCCGGGTAGGCTCCCTACGTTTGCTAGTGGAGAAATCATGATATAGCTCACGACGCCAAGATTCTCTTAAGAGATGGAGAATTTCTGCAGTTGATTTTTGCCTTGCGGCGCGACCTGACAAAGTAATTTGTTTGTTCATGGCAGCATGGTACCACGTCCACTGACGTAGCTTTTCCCAACCTAAGTTATAAAGTCCCTGAGCCAAGGCCCGCGGCCAGCCAGCCTTGGACAAGAGTCGAGGCGGAAGAACACTGGCGGTTTTGCAAGCATACCTGTGAAGTACAGAAACCTGGGACTGAGTGGCCAAGAACCTCAAATCCCAAAAATGACCACGGACCAATTTAAACAAGTGCGGTGAAGCTTGTTTTGGTTTTTCCATGAGAATTCTGCAGGCACGTTCTAATGGTTTAACATCTTGCTTGGAAGGGTTTCTGCAAATCCATCCGTATCCAGCTTTCGCCGGCACAACATACCGACCCAATCTGATTTTCCTTTGTAGTGAGCCTGGCAGGCAACGAACACGGAAAGCCTGGGCTTGAGCTTTCTGCAGTCTGGACTGTTCAGTCTTATTGGCTTTACGAGCTAAGGTACCTTGGAAGCAGTACCCAAGGACACGCGCATCAAGAAGAAATCTGATCAGCCGGCACGTCGCCTTTGAGAAGACTACGTCTGCCTTCAGTTGTAGCATGGTAGAACTGTGCTTACTACCATGCTACAACTGAAGGCAGACGTAGTCTTCTCAAACTGGCAGCAGCGCAAGAACAATTGGCAGCAGTGGTTTCGCCTTGGCAGCAGTGGTTTGCCTGTACTGGTCGAAGAACGCGCCGGCAGCAGCGCAAGAACAGCACAATAGGCAGCGCCGGAGCGCTGCGACACCACCCTAAGAAAATGAGACGGGTACCTAAGTAGGTTTCAAGAAGCAACCTTAGCCCAACAGGGTGACACGACCCACCGGCAGCCACAAACCAGATCAACCATCCTCTTTGGGGTACCTAAGGGACCAAATGGTCTGAACCACTTTTCCCATCCAAACAGCATGCTCAGAAGAACACCCTATTTTCCACCATCCAAACCGTTTAAGGATGGGGTCATTCGCCACCAGGTTACTGGGTCTACGCTCACATTCCCAGCATATATGGTCCCAGTTCCCAAGTCCACCACAGTTCCAGATACAAGAGGTATCAAAAGGACCTCTGTCCTGAAAGCACGCAGGGCTGCACGCCGCACCAAGAAGCACCGTACGAAAGGAAGAGTTGACATCCAACAGCTTTCTCATACCTTTGAAATCGAATTGTAAGAAATCCTGAATGGTACAATCAAAGTCCTGATTGTCATGTCTGTCCTGGTCAAGAAATTTAACAAACATGAGCCACCTCCATCCATCCCGAAGTCTATGTTGCAACTCCGAAACCCAGTCCACATCCGGCAGCCTAAGGTCAATTTTACAAAAAGAACCTTGGATAGCCCAAACCCAGGGCTGTTGAACTTGCCAGCCCTTATCATCCAGCCACTGTTTTAAGGCATCCAAAGGACTGCCACGTTTAGCATCCCATTCCAACTGGAAGTGGTGTTGCAAGTAATGAACAACCCTAACCAGATTAACTCCAACCAAACAGTCAACATGAGTCAAACCCCCAACCAAGATACCACGCAAATACTTCGAAGCTCTGTGCAAGGATCTCTGGCCTCTACGCAGGGCAGCCCAGACCCGATCCGCACTACGCTGAGTAGGGACTCTGCTGAGCCAACCATAGACACACTTACTGATGCCATAGGCACGAGCAGTGTCATGAAACCTAAGGTAGCCAAGCCGGAGGGTGGAAAGAAGATGGATAGTCGGACAGCAGCATCCAACCTACTTTGCTCCTTGGCCGATTCCCGGCGACGGGTGAGAGCAGCAGTCACCCCAAGGATTTCCCATTGGTCAGTGACCAGGGCGGCAGCCACTCCAGCTTCCCGAAGGTCATTGATATGACGCTGAGAAGAACCAACAAATTGAGTTTTGTCAGGATGCTCCAACAGGCCAACCTGATGACTCCAATCGCTCCACAACCTCCTTTTTTCCAACAGACCTTCCGGAGTTTTCGCACTGAAGGATCTATCATCCATGAAAATACGGGTAATGCCATTCCGAAGATCACGAGTGAGATTCTCATGCACGAAGCCATTGCCAGCGGCCATCCAGAGTTGGAGGGCAAGAGGCCCCCACGGATCCCCTTGGGGAGTAGCTTCAGTAGCCTGAAGCTTGTCAGGCATGACGCATCCACCCCGCAGGATCCACCTGGACTGTTGAGTCCAAACCATACTAAGGGTGTTAACCCAGGAGTCAGGCAGGCCAGCAGCTTGCAACAGACTAACTGTACCCCGCGGATCCAAAGAATCATAACACTTGGTAAAGTCAAGAGTACAACCATAACCATCGACACTGACTCCATGGAGGACGGAAGCAGCCGCGATTTGTGCTTCAGCCTTTGGCCCGCACCCAGAGATCACTTCAGCCGGCATGGCCTGAGCAATCCATTGTTTCATAAGCGCAGATCTCAAAAGGACCGACGCCCAAAGACGCCGAAAACAGCTTTGAATAGTGATGGGCCGAAGGTCCATAGCACTGACACAACCTTCCATGACTTTAGAACCTTTCGGGATCTGGACACACCGAGTTTCGAGAAATTGACGAGGAATCTGGTTTCGGGGGCCTCACGTTAAAGCAAGAGAACGAAACAGCTCCAAACATCTAGTGGGTAAGTGACGGATCACCGGTCCAACCATCGGGGCCCCCGCTTCCACTTTGGAGCCGAGCAGTATACAGAACCTCCCCCAAAGTGGGGTCTCTCCAGGACACCTGGGCCGTAACGGCGTGACGCCTCAAGACTTCGTCTCTGGTTTCAGGTCCAGGGCTGCCATCTCGAGCCATTTCCCAGAACTGCTTCCAGAAATTGGCAACACAATCACCAATTTCAAACGGCGTTTTAGCAACACAACCATTGTGGGTGACCGCGAGAGGTTCAGAAGACATGTTCCTGTTTCTGAGCCATTGGCCAAGAGCCTTAGGGTCGCTAAGGAGCCTATCTTTCCAATCCTTCAAGAATTCCCTATGACTGTGCATTTCATTCTCCTTCAAGCGACCCTTCTCAGAGTTGATGAGTGAAGAACAATGCGCTACGAGTCTGCCCAGGTCATCCGGGGAGAGAGAATCAAAATCAGCACCACGATTAATCTTATCAATGAGTTTGCAGATATGACCTGAAGCCTATCGAGTGCAGGCTCACGAATTTGCAAGAGAGAGAGAGAGAGACGGCGAAGCTCGTGAAGTCTGCCAAGTCTACGTCTCTGTTTTCGCAGTTTGAAAAAACCAGGGTCCCACGTGGATGGGTGATGTCCATTCCAACTACTACTACTACTACTACTACTCCTACTACTACTACTACTACTCCTACTCCTACTCCTACTACCTACTACCTACTACCTACCACCTACCACTACGACTACGACTACGACTACTACTACTACTACTACTACTACTGCTACTCCTACTACTACTACTACTACTCCTACTCCTACTACCACTACCACTACCACTACCACTAGTACTACTAGTAGTACTAGTAGTACTAGTAGGGGTACGTACTAGTACTAGTACTAGTACTAGTACTACTACTACTGCTACTACTACTGCTACTAGTACTACTAGCACTACTAGCACTACCAGCACTACTACCGGTTACCACTACTACTACCATTACCACTACTAGTAGTAGTAGTAGTAGTAGCAGTAGTAGTCGTAGCAGTAGCAGTAGCAGTAGTAGCCGTAGCAGTACTACTAGTACTACTAGTACTACTAGTACTACTAGTACTACTAGTACTACTAGTACTACTAGTACTACTAGTACTACTAGTACTACTAGTACTACTAGTACTACTAGTACTGGAACTATACGGATTTTAAAAAATACGGACAGGTATTTTAGACCACCTCCGACGAGATTTTTCCTTGGCCCGCCCAGGCATTCAAACATACGGAGTCCAATTCATTTAAACATACTGTAGCTACATTTAAATATACAAACTGGTATTTAATACTACCTCCGGGGCCTCGTGGTCTGGCCTGCCCTTCACATATTTAAATGTCGTTGCCGAAGTAGTAGTAGTAGTAGTAGTAGTAGTAGTCGTCGTCGTCTCGTCTCGTCCTCGTCCTCGTCGTCGTCGTCGTCGAAGGAATAGTAGCAACAGTAGTAGCAAGAGTAGTAGCAGCAAGACTAGTAGCAACAGTAGGAGCGTGAGATTTTTGTTAGACTTTGAGATGTGAACTGCCAGCCACACGAAGGAAACAAACGGCCAAAGAAAACCAAAGAAACATCAAGAAAACGACAGGGTGGAAAACAAGGAGGTGCACATGAAGCACCCGTACCCCCAAGAGCCAGACCTCCCGAAGCACGGATGAAAGCACAGGTGCACCACAAAGCCAACTGGGAAGGGGACCAATGGTAAGCAGGAAGAGCTGGATGAGCAAAGCCGCAAAAAACAACACAAATCATCAAATGACAGCTGCTTCAACTGAGGAAGCAGCCACGTTCAAGATTGCGAAGACTGCAATCCTTGGAAAACCATGGAGATTCAATGGCAGGGGACTCCGTGCTAACATGTCGACCATCAAACGAAAACTGCAACAATCATTCACAAGTTGAAGATGAGTTCACAGCTCAGGTGAGTTCACCACAGGTTTTTGGGAAAGGCTCCAAGGGAGCCCGGTAACCACTGAATTCACAGACAAGGATCACTATGTACAAGACCATACCTCAATGGGCCACAAGGTCCCAGCTCCGATCAATGCCTTTAGCTGGTGAGTAAATATACAGTACTCATCCAAGTAAAGTACTCTAAAAGTGCCAAGGTACCTAAATTTCGCAATCACACGCAATAAAACTTTGTTATGTGTGTATTCTTTGAAACTTTATCTGGATGGTAAGTATGCGTACTTTATCTGGATGTAAATCTAAATAAACCTATTCATCGCAAGCTAGGGCTAAAGACGCCATCCAGCTGGTTCCAGGTACGGGTTAAGCTTTCAGTTCCATGGAAGCCCCGCAGAAGTGTCAAAACGACTTTGCCGCCAGTGTTTTCCATTCCTTCACATCTCAACAATTGGTGCATCTCAAAATAAGGCCCCAGCATATCTGGATCAAACATCATCAACTCCTCTCTCGACCCTCCGGTAATCAAACCTGACTAGCTGGAAAATCCCCCATACCAAATGGATGTACTTATTACTTATGAAAAAATATCTATAAGTCACGGATTTTCCGTTGCCATGTCCGATCACCAAAGGATATTTGATACTGAATAGCTCCATGTGCCAAACGATGTTGTGGCGCGTCCCTTTGAGTAGCCCTCAAACAATCCCATCAGAATGTTTTCTTGAGGCCAAAAAGGTTCATACCACAGTCAGAACTTACTGAAAAGCCCTAGAGGGTCAAAGATCATTGCCAGTAGTACCGCACAAGGCGGTGGCGGAAGTTTCAAAAATAGGAAACCTATAGGAGAGATTGGTTGTTGTGATTCAGGCATGGCAGAGCGAATCCACTGATGGACCGAAAGGTGCTTGAGGTCTCCTCTCTTTCTCTCTCTTTCTGTGACTATCTACCTATCTACCTACCTACCTACATACCTACCTACCTACCTACCTATCTTCTATGTATCTATCTATCTATCGATCTATCTATCTCTCTCTCTCTCTCTCTTCCATCTAATTACCTATCTATCTATCTATCTGTCTGTCTGTCTATCTATCTATCTCTCTCTCTCTCTCTCTTTCATCTGTCTATCTGTCTAGCTGTCTACCTGTCTATCTATCTATCCATCTGTCTATCTGTCTACCTGTCTATCTGTGGTGCAGTGTCATTCAGTGTATGTAGTGTAGTGTAATGTAGTGTAGTGAAGTGTAGTGGAATGTAGTGTAGTGTAGTGTGATGTAGTGTAGTGTAGTGTAATTCAGCGTAGTGGAGTGTAGTGGAGTGTTGTAGTTGTATTTGTAGTTGTAGTGTAGGGGAGTGTAGTGTAGTGTAATGTAGTGAAGTGTAGTGGAAGGTAGTGTAGTGTAGTGTAATGTAGTGTAGTGGAGTGTAGTGTAATGTAATATATGTAATGTAGCGTAGTGGACTGTAGTGGAGTGTAGTGGAGTGTAGTTCTGTAGTCGTAGTTGTAGTTGTAGTGTACTGTAGTGAAGTGTAGTGGAAGGTAGTGTAGTGTAGTGTAATGTAGTGTAGTGGAGTGTAGCGTAGTGGAGTGTAGTGTAATGTAGTGTAGTGTAATTTAGTGTAGTGGAGTGTAGTGGAGTGTATTGTAGTGGAGTGTTGTAGTTGTATTTGTAGTTGTAGTGTAGTGGAGTGTAGTGTAATGTAGTGAAGTGTAGTGGAAAGTAGTGTAGTGTAGTGTAATGTAGTGTAGTGTAGTGTGATGTAGTGTAGTGTAGTGTAATTCAGCGTAGTGGAGTGTAGTGGAGTGTAGTTGTGTAGTCGTAGGTGTAGTTGTAGTGTAGTGGAGTGTAGTGTAATGTAGTGAAGTGTAGCGGAAGGTAGTGTAGTGTAGTGTAAAGTAGTGTAGTGGAGTGTAGTGTAATGTAGTATATGTAATGTAGCGTAGTGGACTGTAGTGGAGTGTAGTGGAGTGTAGTTCTGTAGTCGTAGTTGTAGTTGTAGTGTAGTGTACTGTAGTGAAGTGTAGTGGAAGGTAGTGTAGTGTAGTGTAATGTAGTGTAGTGGAGTGTAGCGTAGTGGAGTGTAGTGTGATGTAGTGTAGTGTAATTTAGTGTAGTGGAGTGTAGTGGAGTGTATTGTAGTGGAGTGTTGTAGTTGTATTTGTAGTTGTAGTGTAGTGGAGTGTAGGGTAGTGTAATGTAGTGAAGTGTAGTGGAAAGTAGTGTAGTGTAGTGTAGTGCAATTTAGTGTAGTGGAGTGTAGTGTAGTGTAGTTGTGTAGTTGTAGTTGTAGTGTTGTGTAATGTAGTGTAGTGTAGTGGAGTGTAGTGTAGCGGAGTGTAGTGTAGTGTAATGTAGTGTAGTGAAGCGAAGCGACATCTGAACCTCCAAAAGTGGTCCGAACCCCTGGTATTTTTAACATTTTGACTTCGAAATGTGCTTCGCGCCAGAACAGCGTGCACTTTTTCGACATCTCAACTTCCAAAAGTGGTCCGAGAATGGTGTGTTTTGTACATTTTGACTTGGACATGTGCTTCGCGCCACAACGGCGTGCACTTTTTCCACATCTCAACTTCCAAAAGTGGTCCGAGACCCAGGTGTTTTGTACATTTTGACTTGCAAATGTGCTTCGCGCCACAACGGCGTGCAATTTTTCGACATCTCAACTGCCAAAAAAGCTCCGAGACCCAGGTGTTTTGTACATTTTGACTTGCAAATCTGCTTCGCGCCACAACGGCGTGCAATTTTTCATCTCTCATCTGGCCAGCTGGCTCCGCACCCGCCGCTTTAGCGAGCCTACTTTTGGACCCTCCGGAGCCCCAAATCATTGGAAAAACACAGTGTTTCGCGACTTTCCTACCTTTTCTCGCATCTGCATCTTCTTTCTTCTAACTCTTTCTCTTCTACTCTTCTTTCTTCTAATCTTTCTCTTCTCTCTGCCTCTTCCCTTCTCTGCTTTTCATCTGTCCATATTGTCGGAAGTTTGATTCTAAATTTCCTTCGACAATGGAAGTGGGTTCCTGAGGGCTTGAAGCTACAATCCTTGATTTGGGTTGAGATTTGCAGGCGTCAGTGACGGTTCCCGAGCTATGGCAAGTGCCAAAAGTCTAGCCATCACTGGCCGATCCCTTGCAACTGATCATCCACTGCATGCAGGTCACAAGCAACAGCAACAGAAGAAATATCTCCTTGGCTCTGTGCCAGGTGCGATGGTCTGTTTTGGAACAGAAGCTGGTTGATGGAAACTGGAAAACCTGTTCTTTGGGCTCATACTTTGTGAATTGTCCAACGATCTACTCTGCAAGATCTGTGTAATTATTCTCATCCACACCTGATGCATGCGCAGCCCCAAAAACATCCTAAACCTAGGAATGGGGCCGGAATGGGCTGCAGCAATTGGGTGGTTTGAGTGAGGGCGCGGCGACCCGAACTACAGTTCTGACCCTTCAAATCAGCTTCGCCTTTTATAGTGGGACCCAGTCGGGGGTGCATTAACAAGCCCATTCATCTTCCAGATGCAGAAGCTTCACTACACCAACATGTGATCTGGGCATGAGCCAAGTCATAGAGTATCCCTTCTAGTTAAGGCCCCAAATAATATTCCGAGATAGTCAAGCCATGCAAAGCCCCAATCGTCAATACCAACCCATCCTAACTCCGGGGTCTTCTTGGCCCTTCGCGCATTTCTTTGCAAGCAAGGTTCGCAAGGGTTTTAATGCATCTTCCCAGCTGATACCACCTGTGATGGCCTCAAAAACTCGGGTGGTTAAGCCGGGTTCACGATGGCAGGATGGGTGATGTCGTTTGCTCGTCCACAAAGCAGCAGTAGGTATATATATATATATACATTCTATTATTATGAATATTATTTTCATATTTATAAATGATTTGAATTGAATAGTCAAAAATATATCTCTTAAAGAATAAACACGTGTATCTACATGCAGTGTATATATATATATATACACATATATATATATATATATGTATATATTATACCACGACCGCGCCCATACAAAAGTCATCAAAAGTCTTCAAAAGTCATTGCCCTCACTCACCACATTCCAGGCTTGGTCTTAGGGAGCATCTGCAAGGAACTGTCCATGTGTGGAACCTCATCAACTGGATACAATTTTGAATTGCGCTAGGGACATCTAGGGACCGTTTTTGCAACCAACAGCTCAAGGGCCCTAAGTTAGGGTAGTTTGAACCGAAACCCACGACAAGGAACATGGTGTAATGGTCTAAATGATCTCAAACTCTTACCCCTCTTATCTACATGTCCTTGCGTGGCTTCAAACTGTCTGTACTCTTTACAATGTCGGGCCATTCCTGTTGTTGGCAGGCTGCCACACAGCTCATGCAGGTCTGAGTGAATTCAGGCCGGATGTCATGATCCTCGTCAAAAGGCAGGGTTTCATTGACTTTGTCAATGCATCTGCGAGCATCCGGGCGGTCTCGATCCACCACAACTCATCCCCACAGGGCGAGTATTCAAGACTGCTTTTCTGGCCATTCCCTGTCCACAAGGACTATTTCAATGCCGCAAGTTCAATTCCCAGTCCTTTATCCTGGACCTTCTTGGGCACCTCTGCATTCAAGTGCTCGACCAGGCTCATGCAGTCAGACACCCAAATGTGCTTCATCTTCATCTGGCATTGCTCGTGCCAGTCTGTCATCGACACCAATTTGCCTGTCATTTCGCACAGGACACATCTCAGACGATCCCCGTGCTCCACTGCACTCTGAAGTGCGTGCGACTCAGCCTGCAGCGTGGCCCTGCACACACGTTTCAGTGTTGACGAAGCGAATCCGACCACATGGAGGTTGTGATCTTTCTCCGTCAGGTGCGAAGCCGTGGACAGATAGTGAATTCTGGCCTGCTGGGATTTGAATCCAAGCTCATTTGCAAACGACGCATCACTGTACGTCACCACTGCAAGATCCTTCCAGTCAATCCAATTGGCCTTGTACACCAGCTTCAGGTCTTGGTTCTGGTGTGCCAGTTCAACAGCCTTGTTTGCCAGCCTTAGGTCTGACACTGTGGCCTTTGGATTGCAAAGTCTCTGGAGTTCATTCACCTTATATGCTGCTAAGTCTGCACGACAGTACCGTGCAACCCATGCCAGCGACCCCGTCACCGATCGGAGGCTTGTTAGTTCCTTTTCCGTGACGACATCCGTTCCCTTACGGGACTTGTCAATCAGCATCGGCTTGATCCCTCGTGTGTTCTCCTCAGCATCGATTTCTACTGTGAAGTCATCGTGCTGGGTAAAACGTCGTCCACAGTACCGGAAACTTCCTTCTTCAGTCTTCCCGACTGAGAACTTCCCAAGGATCTCCTGGATCACCTTTAGGCAAACAAAAGGTCATCCACATGGGTGCATAGCATGGCATCCAATTCACCGTTCTCATCCAGAGGGTAGTACAGGGCAGGCATCACCTTTGACGCCTTCATGCCAGCTGTCTTCACTTCTGAATCCATGCGCAAGTAGAAACCTCTACCTGCATCAATTGAACCATAGATGGGGACCCTGCAGAGCAAACACGCTTCTGCAGGCACATCTGGGCCGTCGGAGCATCACACCGAACATCTTCCCGGCTCACATCCTCGAAGTTCCCACAAATCACCAATCGAGCCTTCATCTTGGGGCTATATTCTGGGGTTCCCTTCAAATGTTCATTCTTGTCTGTTTCAACCCACTTTAACGGGATAACCTTGTGACCTTCATCCAGCAGATTTTGAAGCTCCTTTCCCCAAATGGGAATTGCAGCGTTGAAGCTCTTATACTTCTCCCACTCAGTTGTTCGAGCTTCCATCATCAAGGCTCTAATCTCTGGAGAAACCTTTCTGATACCTACTGTCTTATAGCCACCTTCTCAGATTGAACCGTCTCCTCGGCCTCCACGACACGCTGTGCAATGAAAGACCTCAGTGGTTCCAAGTCCAGTTCGAGATCCATGGCTCGAAGACGATCGAATGGGTCTTGTGCCCTTCGAAAAACAGTGAAACCGGTCCAAGCGTCTGTCTCTTCTACGTTACTTAGCGACTTAGCTTACCCGTTTCGTTTGTTTTTACATCCCCATTCCTGAAAGTTTTCCTTATTCGTTGCAACCCCTGAGTCCTGAAACCCGTCTGGCAAATCACCACCAATCATCGTGTTGTATTCTCTCTTCCTGGGTTCTGCATGAACTGTGATTGCAACATCCTTTGCAATACGCCAGTGGTCTCCATCCACCATCTCAGCCAGCATCGTGTCACCTGGCAGTGCTCCAGGGGTAGTTGGTGCCACCCTGGTGTACGGAGCAGATCGTTCAGTTCTGCCCGTCTTATCTCTGGCCTGCTTCCTGGTTCCTGGTGTTCCTGGAGCTTTTGATGGCCACTGCTCCCCTGAGGGGCATCCACATCATCATCAAAGATTCCAATCGGATTTGGAAACTTTTCACCTTTCTGTTCATCTTCAAGATGGATGTACTTCTGCTGCTGAGGGCCCGATACGATGGCATCTGGCAGCACGGGTTCCCCATTCAAAATGGAGAAGGCTAAGGCCTCACTCTCATTGGCAGACCTCACACGTGACGTGCTGCACGAAATTGGAACTCCCTCAATCACACGGTGATGCCAATCCAACACCTCTCACCTCACAGCAGTCATCCAGCACTCTCATGTCCCTCTCACTCATCTCACAACGGGCCAAATCACACAACTTCCCAGCATGATCTTCTGCCTCAGTCTTGGCATCCATGCTGACGTGTTGGCAGTGATCACATCTGCCCTTGCAGCCACCTGACATCTGAGCCCAACTGGTTCTCGCATTCGTGTGGGTCAGACTGCAGCTGTCCTTCAAGAACTCCAAGGCACATGAGATCAACCGACCCAGGGCCACACTCCTGTGTCGGTTTCTCCTGCAGTAGGCCACCACACCAACTGACTTCCCATCCAGAACGCTCTGGTGCACTCAAGCGTGCATGACCTGCATGGTCCAATCATTGCGCACAAGCCCTGCCAAAATGTCAGGGTCCATGTGACTCCTCAAACTCTTGTCATGATGAGGGTCTCCAAGGTCCAAGGTGTAAACTACAAAGGCTTCCCTGTCACCCAGGCCAAAGTTATGGCAGACTCTCTCAAGGTTGCGCGCTGATGGGTCATTGGAGTAGGCTTCCAATGGAGGGCAAAAGTCCACTCCTGCCGTGAAGATCAGCACTTGCTGTCCAGCAGGTGCTGACATATGCCATGTTGTCAGGAATCTTCAACTCCCTGATCTGAGTTGGTGTTTCCCTGAATGACATGTTGATCAACCCCTTGCTCAGACATACGCATAAGAGTCCTGAATCCTTGCTTCTGTGCAGCTTCAAGGTGGGACCATCCTTACCAAGTGTGCATGCGGATGTTGCCATGTCTTTCGCCAACCCCAATGCTGCTTGAGCATGTTGTGACAGCAACAGGGGCGTGGGATCTCCTGGCTCACCAGCCACATACGTTTCCAAAACACCTGGCAGGTTTCCTACCACCTTCAGGTTCCAACACCCCTTGGTGTGCACATTGCCTGCAAGACCCTTGAATGCCTTCTGCTCATCAGTTTGCAGAGGAACTTCAAAACCCATATTCTTCAGTTTGGCTTTGCATGTCTCCATCCACCCATGACCACAAACTGTCGAGTTGCAACCCTCGTCCAACACTCCCCATACGTGCATCATTCAGAACATCCACCACTGGAAGCATGTTGCATTCCAGATCGTCCTCCAGAGGGAGAGCGCCACATACCCAACATGGGTTGCATCTCTGGCTTCAACCACGGCCTCAATGGCGTTGCGCAAGATGTCGATCATGACACTGGCACGCATCTTGGGCCATGGTTCAATTCCACTTCACAATCCTGCTGAAACTGGGTCATCACTGCTACTGAGTCCTCTGTACTCAAAAGCAATTCCAACCGCTCATATTTCAACAGGTCTTCTGCCAGATCTACCATGGGTGCAGCAGACTGACTGACAGCCCTACCCAAGGCTTCCCTGCGCTGTCCCTCATCACGTGGCATCTCGTCCACATGAGTTCCACACAACAGACAAAACGTTCTGCTGGTGCTCTTGGTTGATCCCCTCTTGTCAGTGACTGCATGATTGCATGTTGCGGGGTCTTGGGTGTATGTTGGATTCTTTGGGGTCTGAGTGACTCTTCCACAATCCCTGCATGTCTTGCGCATGACGTATGCGTTGGATCCTAGCAAGCTGAAATCCTTGCAAACATGACCAGAAATCTCAACAGGGGGATTGGGAGGCTTCTTCATGGCAGTTTTGTGTCTCGGTCCTGGCACCGGGGCAGGTCTTGGCTGCACGTCCTCAGGGACTGGCTTGGGTGTGACTTGTTGGGTTCCATGATCAACATCATAGTACATGTCAACCAACACCAAGAACTCATTCAAAATCCTTGACGTACCAGGTTCATTTCGCCCCCAAACATAGTACCCAGGGTATTGGTGCAACTCCTCATGATACGTGCAATCCCTATGCTGCCCAAACGTGAAAATGTGGTCACTTCCAGGGGGCAAACCTGGAACCGGCGTTGTGGTGCTGGGTTTCTTGTTGGGCATTTTACACTCTGGGTTACCTGCCCAGTGTCCGTACCCTCCACCACGCAGGCAACGACTGTTCTTCTTCAGACTGGCAAGTCTGACTTTCCGATCTTGGATGGACAACTGAGTCTTCACAACTCTCTTGCCCTTCCCCTTGCTCTTGTCCTTGCCTTTTCCTGATCCCTTGTAGGGTCCTTTCCCCTTTGCACGTTCCACAGCTGCATAGGCCTGTAGCTGGTGCTGACAAGCCTCACCAAGTTCTTCAAGACCATCTGTCAAGGTCTCATCCACGTCGCAGGCAGCCATGGCTGTCAGTGCAATGCCAAGATCTTCATCTGACACCCAGTCACAATCATCTGGGTCATCCGTAGTGGGCTCATCGCCATACCCAACATAGGCTCCCTCACCATAGTCCTCATTCCAATCATAGTTGTCTCCATCACCTGCTGCTTCATCTCCTGCTTGGCCATCATAGTCACCTGCAAAGTAGCCCGATCGATACCACCCCCTTCCCTTGTTCTTTCCTGCTCCTTTCACTGGAAAGGGCCTTGAAGGAGGGGCCAGACTGCTTGAATCCCTCAAATGGATTCTCCCGTGATGTTCCAATAGAATCTCACTGTATCCATCGAAGCTCGGTTTCGGGCAAGCAGTCTTGACCATGAGTTGTTCTTGACGGGTGAGGCCTAATGTCTCCAAAAGAAGCTCAGCCCGCATCTGGGTGGGTATCGCCATTTCTGGGTCCAGTTCTTTGAGTTGAATCCACCAACGTTTTCGGCTTCCCATAAAAGACAAAATCGTCTCTGAAGACTGACGGCTGAGGGGGCCACTAGCTTGTTGACCAAGGCGGAAAAGCCCCCTCGCCTCATGTGACCTCAAGGGAACACATGCTCCTGGATTCTCTCCACCAGCAATTCCAGTCCGGTGGGAGGACCTACATCCATCAGTGCGCTCAATCCCAAGTCCTTGGCCATGAGAAATGCATCTCCCCTGAGCCCTTCCATGACCTTTGTGACCAGCTCCACGTAAGGAGAAACATCAAGCAAGTCATCATCTCCTTGACTGCGAGGTGAAGCAAACCCACCGATCTCTTGCTCACTTGATGGGGCTTGGGGTGATACCTCAGCAGCAGTGGCTCTAGCATCTCCTGATCCTCCCGCTTCAGTCGGCTGATCTCCCCTCCGGCCACTGCTTGCAGGGCTAGTAGCCGGGGACCTGGATGCTTCTTTGGCCTTTTCCTCGGCCTTCTGTTCCATCTTCTTCTTGCACAGTTCCACCCGAAGAAGAGTTCTGAATTGCCATTCATGAAAGTGGGACGGGTCTCCACTATACACGTAGGCTCCACTTTTGGTTTCCAACGGTCCTGAAGGACTGCTCGGGCAATACCTCAGGCCTGCCATCGACATGACGTTCGACGGGGTTTTCCGATCCTTCAGGATGTTTCTGCGTTACACACTTACACACAACAAATACACACGGCTTTCGGACCTAGGCTATCACCGTGAGAGTCCGGCTGTCGGGAGTGAACTCTCCGGCAACCAGCTCCGCTACCAGTTTGAATTGCGCTAGGGACCGTTTTTGCAACCAACAGCTCAAGGGCCCTAAGTTAGGGTAGTTTGAACCGAAACCCACGACAAGGAACATGGTGTAATGGTCTAAATGATCTCAAACTCACAAAATATAAACATTATATTCGAAACTCAAACAAATTAAAAAACATAATATCTGACTTCACCAACCGGTTTGTCAACCACAAGCGCTTGAGATCCCTTCCCATCTTTTATGACCTGCATATCCTGACATGTTTCCTTCAACCCTGTTTGGTTTCTGGGAATCAGCAGGAGTGGCTCGTCACGTGTGTACCAAAGCATGGGTCAAAATTTTCAAGACCCCTCCAGATCCACTGTTTCGGGTATATTGTTGAAACATCCACATTTGGGGCTAACTACTGCTGATTTGACCCATCACCATATCATATACTACTTATAGTAGTGTGTATATATATACACATAATAAACAAACAAAAAATAAATTCATAAATAAATAAATACGTACACCCACACACACACATATATATATATATACACCAAATTTCATCACCTTGGAAACTAGTCCTCACAACCTCCATCCTTCATGTCAACCAAATCCAAGATTTGTGGAGAGGATTTGCAATAGAATTGGGGATGCAACGCCCGCAGACCAGACCAAACCACCTGGAGGGAATGCCAAGATTCCATGAAGAGAGTGAACATGCTCTCACTCACACCGAACCAATACCTAAGATTTTGACACGCAACATTCCATGTTCCTACAATCCTGGCCTGCCGTTCAACTGCTTCATGGTCTATGCGTGACATCTGCCAAGCCATTCCCCTTGACTTCAACATCATCACGAACATGGGACCATGCAAAAACCTGAATATCAAACATGTCCACCACGTCCTTTAGATTCAGGTGGATATCTGTAAAAATATGAAAAACTGACTATATACATATTATACCATGTAAAAAATATAGGCCACTTTGTCGCCATTTTCTGAAAGATGGCATGCTGTCAGCAAAGTGAACTAAGATGACCATGTATCAAATGCATCATGACAAACCTGGAATGTTCAACAACGCAACAAAAACTCAAAATCGAGAGATGCCAAAACTGAAAATCATGACCAGCCTGTATCGTGACATGTGGCCGGCTTGCATCTTTTTCACAAGAAGGTAGTGCATCCAAATCTCCAGTAGATCTCTGAGCAGATTCGCGGCAGTGATCCTGATCCAAGGCTGACCAAGCTTGTGCATTGCGGTGACTTCTCCATATGCGAACCAAGCGGCCGTGACGATTTGGGCGATAATCACTCCAAAAATGTAGAACACCTCAGGGTAGGTCAACTGCTTTCACATTCCACAAATTCCACACACTCCAAAAAAACCACAGTCCTTCGCCCTTCTGGCCCTTTGGCCAACGGATGTTGTGATGCTGTGACTTTGATCAAAAATGATCAAAGCAATCTTGGATTCCCTACACCCACCAGCCCCAAACACCAACCAAACGTCAAGAAGAAGATCTATCTAGCCACATCGCATGATCAACAAATGGCAAGCAAACACATGCCCGCCATGCCTGCAACGTAATCTGGCGGTTCAGCATCAAAGATCAAGATACGTCAACGCACTTTACCTGCCTGACCATTACATGCCCCCATCCACCCCATCTGGAGCATTCCGTCCAGGGTGTGCGGGTGCATGTAAAAAATCTTACCCCGCCCTACCCCGCCCGGTCTGCAACAATCAAACATGTGAGCATGTGCAAGTGTGCGAGTTCGAGTGCGCAAGTGTGAGTGAAATTAGAACACCCCACCCGACCTGACATGATAAAATGACAGAAAGCCAGAGAAAGCCATGTTTTGCCGCAGAAAGCTAATTCCGCTGGAACCCAAACTGCAACTGTAGTCACTTCTTGTAACACCTGTGAGCGCACTTGGAAGCACAATAGTTGACATGTCAGCTTGCAACAGCCGACCGCCACATAGCAATTCTGGCAGGGCGCTAAAATCAAGAGCACCAACGTCCAAACCAACGATCCAGCTGTGCTTACGATGGAAAACCTGGGCTCCGTCAGAAAACGCGACAGAATCCACAGTTAAAGCCCTATACCAGCTACTTCTATGACAACAAAGGGGGTTATCATTCCATAACAAATCCATAAATGGGGTTGTCACAAACTCATAACTGGCAGAGGGCCAAAACTGCAATCACTAATCTAATCCACTTGAAGTCGCCAGTCCGCAACAAGTCAACAACCCTAGCGACAGGAGTGCACAAACAAGCCAAACCAACCCCTGCAGATTCACCCCTAGTTGGTTCTGCAGCAACAATCACCATCTTTAGGGCGTGTCCCAACCCTGGTGGAAGCCACCTACAAACAGACAACAGCTATACACAACTCTGATTTCTGCCCACAGGTGCGTTGCCCAAACGTACTCACCGATTTCAAATCATGTAGGGTAATGCGCACATCGTTTCGGGAATAGTCATGCACCCCCATGGCATGGGAAGCATCAAGCCGTGACCTTTCTTCGAAGTGCCCGGTGAAAACCCAGCATTCCAGGGACCAACTGGACATTGTTCACCACGAGACACCGCTTGGAGGATTGTCCAAGCTCGCTTGGAGGATTATCCAAGCTGAATCGTAAGGTGTTACTGATCTGGTTAATAAGTTTCCCGATTCTTGGGTTATCTCATCTATGACGTGGATGCAAGAGGAGAACACTTGGTCACGTTACCTCTTTATTTTCCCAACCTTTCCCCGCAAACGTATCTGGGGAGGTTCCAAGGTTACATCTTTTTGTTTTTCACTTGCGGCAAGTGTTCACCAAGAGACACGAGCGTCCTCAAAGCACCAATGTAGTGAATCAGCCGGATCACCCTGATGCCTCGCAGGGCGCGTACCACTCGGATGAAACGAATGGAGCGAAGATACGAAGAGTCCAGATTCCTCAGAAGTAGCATCCCGGGCGAATGGGGAAATGATCAATACAACTAGACGACGGTTGGCCCGAGAGCGAAAAAGACGTTTTTCAAGCAGCTCTGAGTATGGTAGTCGTAAAAAATAGTCGGTGATAGGTTGGTGAATTTTATATGAGCTATGGAGGGGTAAGTTGTGAAAAGTAAGATTGATTAAGAAGAGGATACATGTGACAACCCATGCATTTGCACTGTGCTGCTTGGTAAAGGGCATCATATGACACGTGTCTTGCAACCACAGAGAGACATAGATAGAGAGAAAGGGAGAGAGAGAGAGAGAGAGAGATAGAGAGAGAGAGAGGGAGAGAGAGAGAGAGAGAGGGAGAGAGAGAGAAAGAAAGAGGGAGAGAGAGAGAGAGAGAGCAGGGTCTTCTGTTGTTAGTATTGAGACACTATATTGCAAGACAATATATTAAAGATGTATTTTAGGCAGGCGAGACAAGTAGTATCAAGACAATATATTACAAGTACAAAACACTAGTTTGCATCCTATCCTTCGTATTGTTTTTCACACGCAGACGCTTTTGCACAGAAGCTGTTACACACAGACGCATTTACACACAGACGCTTTTACACACAGAAGCGTTTACACACAGACGCTTTTACACACAGAAGCTTTTACACACAGAAGGTTTTACACGCAGACACTAGACACTTTTACACACATAGGCTTTTACACACAGACGCCTTTACACACAGACACTAGACACTTTTACACGCATAGGCTTTTACACACAGACGCTTTTACACGCAGATGTTTTTAGACACACACACTTTCACACACAGAAGCTGTTACACACAGAAGCTTTTACACACAAACACTTTCACACACAGAGGCTTTTACACAGAGGCTTTTACACACAGACGCTTTTACACACAGAAGCTTTTACACACAGACTCCTTTACACACAGGCGCTTTTACACACAAACACTTTCACAGACGCGTTTACACACAGACACTTTTACACACAGACGCTTTTACACACAGACACTTTTACACGCAGACGCTTTTATACACAGGCGCTTTTACAGGCAGATGCTTTTACACACAAACACTTTCACAGTCGCTTTTACACACAGACACTTTTACACACAGACGCTTTTACACACAGACACTTTTACACGCAGACGCTTTTACACACAGGCGCTTTTACACGCAAGTGCTTTTACGCACAGAAGCTTTTACACACAGACACTTTTACACACAAACGCTTTTACACACAGACCCTTTTACACACAGACCCTTTTACACACAGACGCTTTTACACACAACAGTTTCACACACAGAGGCTTTTACACACAGAAGCTTTTACACACAGAGGCTTTTATACACAGATGCTTTTACACACAGAGGCTTTTACACACAGAAGCTTTTACACACAGGCGCTTTTACACACAGAAGCTTTTACACACAGAGCTTTTTACACACAACACTTTCACACACAGAGGCTTTTACACACAGAAGCTTTTACACACAGGCGCTTTTACACACAGACGCTTTTACACACAGACGCTTTTACACACAGAAGCTTTTACACACGAACACTTTCACACACAGAGGCTTTTACACACAGAAGCTTTTACACACAGAGGCTTTTACACACAGAAGCTTTTACACACAGGCGCTTTTACACACAGAAGCTTTTACACACAGACACTTTTACACACAGACACTTTTACACACAACACTTTCACATACAGAGGCTTTTACACACAGAAGCTTTTACACACAGGCGCTTTTACACACAGACGCTTTTACACACAGACGCTTTTACACACAGACGCTTTTACACACAGACGCTTTTACACACAGACGCCTTTTACACACAGGCGCTTTTACACACAGACGCTTTTACACACAAACGCTTTTGCACTTTTACACACAGACGCTTTTACACACAGACGCTTTTACACACAGACGCTTTTACACACAGACGCTTGTTACACATAGGCTCTTTTACACACAGACACTTTTACACACAGACGCTTTTACACACAGAGCCTTTTACACACAGACGCTTTTACACACAGACGCTTTTACACACAGACGCTTTTACACACAGACGCTTTTACACACAGAAGCTTTTACACACAGACTCCTTTACACACAGACCCTTTTACACACAGAAGCTTTTACACACAGTAAAATTGCAATTTTTTGTCAGTTTTTGACGTCCAACGTCCATTTCGTGCGTAAGAGTTGCGCGGGACTACTCAAAGTCGCAATTTTTCCTCAGTTTTTGACGTCCATTTCGTGCGTAAGGGTTGCGCGGGACTACTCAAAGTCGCAATTTTTCCTCAGTTTTTGACGTCCAACGTCCATTTCGTGCGTAAGGGTTGCGATTGACAACTCAAAGTCGCAATTTTTCCTCAGTTTTTGACGCCCAACGTCCATTTCGTGCGTAAGGGTTGCGATTGACAACTCAAAGTCGCAATTTTTCCTCAGTTTTTGACGGCCAACGTCCATTTCGTGCGTAAGGGTTGCGATTGACAACTCAAAGTCGCAATTTTTCCTCAGTTTTTGACGGCCAACGTCCATTTCGTGCGTAAGGGTTGCGCGGGACACTTCAAAGTCGCAATTTTTCCTCAGTTTTTGACGTCCAACGTCCATTTCGTGCGAAAGGGTTGCGCGACGCTCAAAGTCGCAATTTTTCCTCAGTTTTGGACGTCCAACGTCCATTTCGTGCGAAAGGGTTGCGTTTCGTGGCGCTCCGGCGGCACCGCCCCCGCCTTAAGAGAGAATAGAAGAAGAGCGAGAGGAGATCTGCAGATGTGAAGGTGTGAAGATCTAGATCTGCAGGTGTGAGGGTGTGAAGATCTAGATCTGCAGGTGTGAAGGTGTGATGATCTAGATCTGCAGGTGTGAAGGTGTGATGATGTAGATCTGCAGATGTGAGGGTGTGAAGATCTAGATCTGCAGGTGTGAAGGTGTGAAGATCTAGATCTGCAGGTGTGAAGGTGTGAAGATCTAGATCTGCAGGTGTGAGGGTGTGAAGATCTAGATCTGCAGGTGTGAGGGTGTATATGTGAGGGTGTGTAGATCTGCAGATGTGAAGGTGTGAAGATGTAGATCTGCAGATGTGAGGGTGTGAAGATCTAGATCTGCAGGTGTGAGGGTGTGAAGATCTAGATCTGCAGATGTGAAGGAGTGAAGATCTAGATCGCAGATGTGAAGGAGTGAAGATCTAGATCAGCAGATGTGAAGGAGTGAAGATCTAGATGCAGATGTGAAGGAGTGAAGATCTAGATCAGCAGATGTGAAGGAGTGAAGATCTAGATCAGCAGATGTGAAGGAGTGAAGATCTAGATCAGCAGATGTGAAGGAGTGAAGATCTAGATCTGCAGGTGTGAGGGTATGAAGATCTAGATCAGCAGATGTGAAGGAGTGAAGATCTAGATCAGCAGATGTGAAGGAGTGAAGATCTAGATCCGCAGATGTGAAGGAGTGAAGATCTAGATCAGCAGATGTGAAGGAGTGAAGATCTAGATCGCAGATGTGAAGGAGTGAAGATCTAGATCAGCAGATGTGAAGGAGTGAAGATCAGCAGATGTGAAGGAGTGAAGATCTAGTCCGCAGATGTGAAGGAGTGAAGATCTAGATCAGCAGATGTGAAGGAGTGAAGATCTAGATCAGCAGATGTGAAGGAGTGAAGATCTAGTATAACGGCTGCTTTTTTACGAAGAACCCTTCGCAGGCGCTCTCGGGAAAAATGGGAAAATATGGAAGAAGAAAGAAAGGAAGATCTCACTCACAAATCGGGTTTTCAACTCGAAGTGGGACTTCAACCAACATGGAGCTTCAATCCGCAACAATGGGGTTGGGGAGACATGGGGAGACTCACTTCAAAAATCCCAAACTAAACTTGATCTTCAACTGTGGACTCTATAGAAACCCATATACTGCATGTGTGGAAAAGGTTCAAACGTTCACCCAAAAATGACCTGAATGCACATACAGTACATGCATGTTGCAAAAACCTCACACCAGAAGCAAAATGTTAGAATCTCACTGGGAGGTTGAAAGAAAACCAAATCTATGGCTGTCAGGAGGAGATGATTGTCGAACACAATCACTTGCGGTTCCCACTCATATTCTTTTAGCAGTACATGAGGACAGAAAAGTGACTCCAATATGCCCACCAAAAAGAGCAGCTTCGGTTGGTGATTGAACGATTCAAGATGATTTTGCCAGGCAAACAGCATGGAAACTGCGTACCATTCACCAACTTCTGTGGCGTAGCACCCAAGTCCAAGTAGATGAGAACTTCACAACCAAGTATAAGCATAGCACCCAAGTCAGTGCATGTTGAAGGTCAAATGTGTTTTTGTTTTGAAGAGACACCGGAACGTCTTGGCACTCACCTTGGCATTCTACCCACCTTGTTCGAACTACCTTTATCATGCTTCACCCCGAAACGAATGGGAGGGATAACCCTATGACCAAAGCACGGAATAATATGGTAAAATAACCCCTGACCAAAGCACAGCATAAGCAAAAACTGGCCACTTCGTAATTTTCGCAGAAAAAGGTGAGAACGGAAACAGGAGACACTCCAAAGAATGAACGATATAGACATATATATAGAGACTGTATCTATGTGCATATACGTTTGTAGGTGTGCATTTGTATTTATAGACACATGTACTTATCTAAATATGATGTGATGCAATCTAATACTGTAGACGGTATATTCTGCATACAGGCATACAGATTTGTTTTGCTATTCTAGCCTTCCCGGGTGCATATTTTAACACCCGTCTGATCAATCTGGTGGTCTTTGGACGCTTCTCATAGACATATACATATATACACATAAGATATGCATACGTAAATAAAAAATAAACAAATAAATGAATTATATATATATACACATACACACATATGTATAAACCAATACAGTACTGTACATGAAAATCAAGACAAGCTCCACGCACTGAATTTGATACAAATACACATGTTTTTTTCTTGGATTATCTTGTTCTTGGATACCCTCGAACTTCCAGGCTAAGAAGGTTGGCATCTGCACTGAAACCTAACGCTTCTTAAAGTGCAACTCCAGAACTGACTACGCAACAATGGACCATACGTTCCCATCATTGAACCAAACGTCATAGTACGAATATATAGAATGATTCTAGAAAAAAATGCATCCCAGCACCAAAGGCGTTAGTCTTGCAATCGAAAGTCGTTGCGGAACTCATCAGTGCCATGATCTCAAGCATGGTCTCTGATAATGACCTCAGAGATTCCGAAAAAAACACAGTTGAGAGCCGGCCTTGTGCCTGGCGACCGGTCCTGAAGCATAGAACCCTCACGCAAACAGCCGCAAACATCTACTACATCACAACCCCCCAGCCATCATCAGATTTTCTGATGTTTTCTGTCATTCCGAACCAATCGTTGCTTCGTGTGGCAATCATTCTGGGGATGCAGCACCTGATTTTTTTTTTAGCGCCTAGAAATTTATCACGTGGCCAAAATCATGAAAAACTAATGGTTCCATTGAGGCCCTATCAATCAAAAACCCTCAAAGCCATCGAATTTGGACCACGTCCCATTATGGCGACTTCAGCTGCACATTTCATCTTTGTGCAGCTTAGAAGCAAGGCAACGATGAGAAAATCAAAGATGTTCCAACTGGGCGCTGCTGGGATTCCGGCGATCCATGCAGCGGAGATGCGCCATCCCGTTTTATCATGGGAATTTAATCCGGCCCCGAAGGTGACATCCCCAAAAATGATGTTTGGGTTTCTGAAAGGTTTATCAACCACCAGTTGTATAAGACTTTATTCACCATCTATTCTCGGGGTGTCACCGACTTTGGGGTTTTGATTAAATCCCCGTCCGGTTGTTCTGGATTGCGAGTATTATCAAAGAGGAATAAGGAGAAATCCCTAACGAACTGTAGTTAGAAAGATGTCAGAAACAGTGTATAGTTGAAAACATATGTGTGCATGTGGGTGTGTAGGTATATATCTATCTATCATTAACTATCACTATCCATCATTATCTATCATTATCTATCATTATCTATCATTATCTATCTATCTCTCTATCTATCTCTCTATCTCTCTATCTATCTATCTATCTGTCTGTCTATCTATCTACCTATCTAACCTAATATAACCTAATCTAATCTAATCTAATCTAATCCATCCATCCATCTACCTACCTAAATAAAACAACATATACATCTATACAGATTCATGTATACAGCCAAAAAACATTGATCCACCTATCTACTATCTTGCAATACATCTGCGAGTCTATATAGGTATGTATATATGTAACTACGCACATGCATCTCGTCTCTGTGTATCCGTGTACCTATCTTTCAAACTTTCTATCTATCTGTTTGTCGATCAATCAGTGTATCTATCTGACCATCTATCTATACATCTGTCTCTCTTTGCACATATGTAAATAAATAAAAACAAATAAATAAATAATATATATATATATACATACATACACTATACTCTTGTATTCTTCTATGTGTCTATCTGTCTATCGCCTCATTTGGCGGCTGCGATGTGGGGAAGCTCCAGCGTACCTCGGCCGGCAACCTGCTTCTTGCCAGCTCCGCTACTTCGGGCGTGAATTTCTTGTAGACCTGCTGCAGGCGGTGTCTGCCGCCGATGCTGTCGCAGACTTGACGCAGAAGGCCTTGGTCGCACCAGGATCACCGCGCATTTCGAGGCTTTGGCTGCGCCTGGTTGCCGTCTTTTTCGAAGCGGCAGGGCTCCCTGTCTTGGAAGCCCTTGCAGCAGCGCGGCATTGCTGCAGGCGAAGGGCAGTGTTCTGTACAAAGGAGGATAAAAGAGAACAAACTATATATATATATAGATATATAGTCATATGCCATGATTTCTTGACAGAAAGAAACACATTGTGGATTTTTGTTTGCGCAAAAAGTCATCGCATCCTGTGTTTAGCTGCAGATTGCAACAACATGAACGAATGCTAGTGCTGAACCCTTATTGTGATTGAACTTTACAGAGGAAAACTATCTTTTATTTCTGCCGTATACATGAAAAGTTGCCCATGTTGCTGAAATGGCTGCAGAATGCATCAGGCACATCGGACGGCATGCAGCACATGATGAGCTTGCAAGAAACAAAAGCTAGCAATTGCAGAAGCGGGCGTTGCTCGAGGAGTTTTTTCTCCGCCCTGTGTCACATGCGGCTCGGTCGAAAGTTGGGCCCCAAAAATTTGTTGCGATACAACATCACTTGGCAGGTCTTTTCCGCAGCCAGGAGTGGTAGCAGCAGCGCTTCCTGGCGTGGCTCAGGTGCAGGAATCTTGTCTTTATGAACTGTTTCGAGCATGTCATGTATCAGATAGAATGAACGTGCATCGAAGGTCTCTGCCTTGCTGACGCGGATCCACCCGACTTGGCAAAAGGTATTCCCTGTGGTCTCCAGCCAAGTCCTCCGGCACCACCTGTGTCAGGGCTGCAATGATCAAGTGTGGACATTTGTATCAATTTTGAGGAAGCCTCTACATCTTCGACTGTGGCCAACGGTGGCAGCCACAGCCAGATCGAGTGGCGGCGCGAACTCGCTGACAACGAGGACCCAGTAGAAACCTGGGGCTGTGCAGACTTCAGGAATGCATCAGAGGGAGAAGAATGCTCTTTCTTGAAGTTCTTTCTTCGTTTGCCTGCATGTGGTCATGTCAGGAGTGCCGCAGCTGGCTTTTTTTCAGGCTTGAGCTTTCACAGGTGCTGCTGAAAACATGCAGTTTTCTTTGTTGGTTGGCCCATGGCTGGAGCACTTGGCCAAGGTAACAGACGTGGAGACGCTCCGCCAGCTCCCGAGCCAGTGCCTCCTGCGAATTTCGTGAGGGGTTCCTGGGTTAATCAGTTCATCGGAATGCATCTGGAATGATATATCTATATATATATATATATATACATATGTAATTACTTTTTCCTTTTATGCATCCATCGATCTTCCTGCAATAAGAGATGTTTCAATCCTGAATGGTAGATCATTGCCATATATATAGCTTACATGCTGCTCTCAAGTCTTTGTCCGTGGAAATATATCGGGCCATCGATGATCAACATATTTGCCCAAGCAATCTGTGTTGGGCGGTTAGGATCAAATTGTGCATCATTCGTTCTCTATCTATTATCATGAATGTGGCCCAGGATCGATGCCTTTCGGTGTGGGGGCATGATTGTTTGTTTCATGTTCTCTTTTTCTGCCTAAAGGTACTCTCAAAGGCAGTGTAATAGCCAAGTGTTCCATGTTGGCTGCGCGGTCTCGTCACAATTCTGTATAGGCTCTGCACGGGAAGCTGTTGGTAACTGCCCAATAATTTGCAATCTTTGCGAAAGGAACGACCCGTATCTTAGCCGATATAAATAAATTCATCTATGCCGTAATTGCACAGGACTTGCGGAACTTAGGCAAAAAGTTGTTCGCATGGTCAAAGCATGCGGCCTACTGAATTTGTTCTCGAAGTCACACCACCATCAAAGCATTCGGTAATCTAACGTACAAACTTTTTCACATATATACACACACATACACACACATATATAAAAAAAACAATAATTAAATAAAACATGATTAAATAAATAAATGAACAAATAAATTTAAACATAGAAAATTAAATAAACATATATATATATATTATATGTATGTGTGTGTGTATGTGAAAGTCTGCCTCCTCGCGTCCCTGTCTCAAGTCGGCGGTCCCATACCGTCTGCGAGCGCTGGAGGTGCGACTTCGGCGGACACTGCCGGGTGTCCATCACGAGTTGGCTTGCCCGAGCTTTCTTAAAGCCCAACTCCTTGAGCGCTTTGCGAACTTTGTGTTCGCGGCCGCCATAGAGCAGGCGCAGGACTTGCGCGTGCTTCTGGGAAGGGCCAGCCATCTTCAGTGTCGAGATATCTATCCGTCCACCAAATATTTATCAATACTGTAAATGTGTATATGTGCAATCACCTATCTAATCTTTCTGTCTGTCTGTCTGTCTGCCTGCCCGCCTGCCTCCCTGTCTGTGTGTCTGTGTGTCTGTGTGTCTGTCTGTCTGTCTGTCTATCTATGTACGCACGTATGAATGCATGTAGGTATCTATGCATTTACGTAGACATGCAATGATATGGTAGGTATACGTAGATACGGAATTGATGCATGTATGAATGCAAGGACGTGTTTTGGCATGCATGTACATACTGTAGGTTATTGCATACCCATACTTGTCAGCCATGTCCGTATAAATTGTACACTAGGCTTTTATCACCCAATTCATCAGCCCAGACACACTTTCTCTGGTCCGAGGAAAAAACCTCTGAAACCATAGGCTCTCAACTTCAAGAAAATTTCCTGCGGCGCCAGCGCGGTCACGCCAAATCCGTCACTACTGGGTCGCGCACTGAGATGAAGTGAGAAGGCCGAAGGCTCGCCATAATGCAACATGGAAAATCAAATGGCAATGTCGACCGGATCCAGAAAAATCAGAACCGAAACTGAGTTTGCTATAAGGGAAAGAAATCCCAGCCATATTCAGAGTAGGTTCATGTTTGATTGAATCTGTTGGAGAACCCTGGATTGCTGTTCCTATGATGAATATAAATCACTAGTGGTGTAAGTCATTCACCACCTATATGTAGTATAATGGTGCACCGCTAGCTCACCTTTTCAGCAAGTCGTGTGCATTGCAAACATTTTTAACAACTAAAATAAAAATACCATAAGTATTTACAACTAAATAAATAAATAAATAAATATATAAATAAATATATATATATATAACTGCAGATAAAAACCTATTTATACAAATATGAATATGAGCGACTTTAAAAAGCAGTATATGGGACTTCTACTCTAGTTAGAACTACCGCCCAGCCAACCCTAGCCTTAGATGACACGCACAATGACTCGCCCTTCTTTTTTCTAGCGGTGTGGGAATTAATATACCATAAGACATACCATATGTCATATAGCCAAGACATGGCCAGAGGCAAAATAGACCATGTAGGACAAAACACATGTCCTACAGATGTGCAAAGCAACCCAGCATGGGCGCTCACCTAACTCACGCGCCGTAGGGTGGCAGAGGGCGGGGCGCGAAAAACACAAGGTTGCAGCTAAATAGACGCGGTGCACACTTGCAACCGGTCAACCATGCACTTCATGTGCAACACCTAGCTGTCACCTGGAGCAATGTAGAACCAATCAACTTAAAACCAGGACAAACAAACAAGAAGAAAAGTTTCAACTATCGCGCCAGTCCCCTTTCGATGCATCTTGGTGCACTACACGGGACTTCTACTCTAGTTAGAACTACCGCCCAGCCAACCCTAGCCTTAGATGACACGCACAATGACTCGCCCTTCTTTTTTCTAGCGGTGTGGGAATTAATATACCATAAGACATACCATATGTCATATAGCCAAGACATGGCCAGAGGCAAAATAGACCATGTAGGACAAAACACATGTCCTACAGATGTGCAAAGCAACCCAGCATGGGCGCTCACCTAACTCCCAACCGCAGGCGACCCATGCCTCAAACAATATATTATGGTACGGTTGAATCGCTTGACTCGGCAAGCAGGTTTCTACCTATCAACTCTCAGCCCCAAGGGTCTCTCACACGCAGCGGCTCGCCAGTCTTCACCCGCTTGGTCTGGCTCACCTTGCGGTCACGTGCTTTCCGCACGTCCTCGTACAATTCCATGCCCAAATTCAACATTGCCTGTAAGACTAAACCTTCATACTCCTCCATACGAAATCGCAGCCTGCGATCCTCACTGAAACCGTGAAAAATCTCATTTGTGAGATTGTCTGCCTCCTGGTTTTGGAGACGAGGAAGCCATTCCAAATGCAGATCATGATTGCCGTCCATGAGAACTGCCGCCACTTCCATCAAAATAGCGCACAATGGGAATTTGGTGCTCATCAACCGAGCGATGAGATGTGTATTTCCCAAGTTATCAGTTCCAGCTGAAATTTTCATTGAACCTTTGTAGCACGCAGGCTTGAAGAGGACCAGGCTCACTAAGGTGGCAAACAATTCCAGTGATGCAATGGCTCGGAAAGATTCCCCAGCCAAGAAAGCCCAAGGTGCATTTGACCGCGTCAACCTTTCACTGAACCATCTACATGATTTTGTATCCGGACCGTCCTCAACTGCCCAGCCACCGATGCAAATCACTTCACCTTCGGCTTTTGCATCTGCCCTGAATAATTCCCTACGAGCTTCTTGCAGAGGTCCCACTGGGCGAGTACGCCATCCATGTTTCAGCATATGTTCAATGAAACGCAAGATGTAGATAACAGCTTTAGGCAAGCGAGCATGAACCACGTTTTCCAGGGCTGCAGACCATGCGTACAGTGGCCCCAGAAAAGGCCTGAGGTGCTCAATTGCCGCCATTGCAAAAGAAAGCCGACCTAGCACTGCAGAAAAGTCATGCAATTTCACCACGCCTGCTGCCACAGTTGTCTCAACCCAGTTGCAAATCCAATCTGCACGTTTTTCACTAATACCAACAGACTTCTGTTCCAGATCCACGTAGTAGCCTACCCATTCGACCTGTGTGCCCCCCTTGCACTTATGCCAGCTGAAGGGAACGCCCAAGACTACCATAAACAGAAGAGCAACTACAATTGCATCCGTTGCAGCTTTCCCTTGTGTAATGAACAGCAAATCATCAACATAGGTGAGGAGAAACAGCTTCAAAGTACCAGTTAAATAGTACACCGCCCGCTGTATTCCACTGAAAAGATGCGACCAATGTACTGCAGCTGACGCAACGCCAAAAGTGCCTACAGTATTCAGCCAGACAAATGAAGAAGATTCGTCTGTCCTACATGCTTGCAGCCCCCAGTCTTCTGGCTTGATCTTCACAAGCCTGTGCGCGCGCTTGATGTCTGCTGTCAAAACAAAAGTCGGCTTCTCCAGCACCTGTAGCACCTGCCGCAAATCACCTGCACTTGGGCATGCAATCTGGTCACGCACCTTGATATTACCATTGACCCCTATGCCGTGTGTTCCATCATGGACTACACGGAAGCTGTCATCAGCTTTCCGGATTGCACCAAGCGAAGCTACCCTCAAATTTTCACCATAGATCCTTGACGCCTCCTCAACTTCCATCTTCACCATCGCACCTAACTTGGCTTCTTCTACGAATTGTGCTTCAATCGCCTTTGCATTTTCTGCCGCGCCAGGATAGTTGTTCCGGAAAACATCCGCTGCTGTAGTTTCCCCGTCATAGGCACGCCATTTGCATTTTTTCTCGAAAACAGCTGGAGTTCGCGGCATCTTCTGATTCACACCTAAAGACACGCCCGCAGCAAATGAATCCTTGCCTGAAAAATACGCTGAAGCATCAGGATCGTTGCAGAGACGCAGAAACTCTTCAAGCAAAGCAAGATGGAAAGGCTGTCGCTCTGGAATTGCATCTAAATCAAGCTGCGCACCATGTTTTCTCAGAATGCCTTTGACAGCCTCCCTAGCTTCTTTCACCAGTGCTGCAGGGAAAGGCTGGTCCACATGTTTTTTTGCAAGCCAACTCAAAAAGAAGTCTACGCCCGTCCGTGTGCTTGTCCAACACTGTCTGCAGACCTGCAAAGCATTGCGCACCTATCGGCTTCACATGACGAGCGCATGGGCTCCACCGTCCGGGCGAGCACAAACCACTACCGTCAACAAATGGTTTGCTTTTACCCATCATGTGTGACTTCAAAGGAGGTCCGCAGCCACCGACTGCTTGATGAAACCATGCTGTCTCTTCTTCACCATCAAGCAAATCTGTATCAACACTAGAGCTGACGCGCTGTCCCGAACATGAATGCCCCACCGCAGGCGAGGGAAGCGCGGCACTGACTTTTTCGGCTGACAAAATTGATTCCTGGCGGGGCCCATCAGCCGGTTGGGCCCCTGCAGCCGTTCAAGCTGGTGACTGCAACATGCTCTTTGGATGATTCGGGCAATCTTTCTTCCCATGGCCTTCTCCAAGGCAGATTTGGCAAGCATGGTGAAAAGAGCAATGTTTTTTTTTTGCATGTGCCATTGTTGAATCTGAAGCAAAGCCTTTTACCCTCTTCCGATCTAGATTTGAGGAACTGCTTGGAGACCAAACGCCTGTCTTTGCCCTTGCCTTTGCCTTTCCCATGCTTGCCACTACTTTTGCCATGGGCAGTAAACACCTCACCGTGACTGGCCGTGCTGAAGAAGTCAGCAGATGCAGTCAGAGGAACCAAAAAATGCTTGTTGATCAGCTCAGCAGAATTCCACGCATCTTCCAAAGCTTCTTGCAAAGATGAATGCTTGCCATCGCGCAGCTGCTTGTAAGCCCTTTTGCGTACTTCTAGCTCATAAGATAACACCAAATTCCAAGCTGGGTGCCTTGTCACTCCCTGGGCCATGATCGGAAAACCTGCAATGTGCCTGCCCACAATATGGTCAGAAAAACGGCGAAACGCTTCCAACAAGGCAGGCGTGATCCAGGATTGGTTCTTGTGCTTGGACCCCACCATCAGCCATGCAATGCCAATGCGGCGATGTCGTAGCCTCAACTCTTCTGGAGTTGATGGCATAGCAATGCTCGCCTTCCCCGGCTTGATCTTGAGATTGCCGGTGCCATGCTCAATGATGCCACTAAAGAGATCAACATCTGTGTCTTCCACGCAAAGGACCTCACGTAAGTCTTCGGCACGTAGGTCGCCAGATTCAATCTGTTCCAACTTGGTGGCAATCAGAGACTTGGCAGGGACCTCATCGTCCTGTAACTTGCCAAGATCAGCCTCCACCGCTTTGCGCAAAGCTGCCATCTCGGAGCACTGCACAATCCGAGGCGTTTGGCCGAGCTTGCTTTCAGCCTTCATCTTGTCCTCAGCCACCAGCTGCGCACGAGAAGATTCCCATGCAGATAATAGCCGGGCAACATTTTGGCGGGCATCGGTGCACTCGTCGTGCTTTAAGCCAATTTCAACAGCAAGAGCATTGCGCACTTCCAAGCGGGATTCATCCAGCCCGGCAAAAAGCTGCAAATCCACAAAGCCTTTGTGGAACAAAGCGGCTTGCACCTCCACAGGGACTTTCACCTCAGACAAGTGGTACTTCAAGTCAGGTGATGCAGCCTTCAACGCTGCTGAGCGCTCTTCATCAGATAAAGAAATCAAAGGCATGATGTCAACAGTTGACAAGCTCAATTGACGTAATTGAAGAACATACACAATGATCACAAGCTGGCCAAGCAAACATAGCGCATGCAGCATGCCGCGCTAAAGAACGTGCCCCGGCCGGAACAAACACATGCGATCAAGTGTAGAAATCAAAGTTGGCGGATGAACATATCCCAACTCAACATGAAAGGAATCTCTAGCATGAGATGAAGCCATAACACAACCACCATTGTGTTAGCAACCAGAATTAGAAAGCAGCTCTGGCCAACTTCAGAGAAATCTCAAGCATGAGATGAAAACCATTGCCAATCTAGCTCAAAGTCCTAACACAATCCACTTTGCGTTAGCTACGAGCAATGGCAAAGGGCCAAACATTGGTCCCCTTTCAGCAAGCACGTGTGTACACCTAGCGGACTTGGCCACTAAAACACATATTAATCACCAGATGCTAGGCTGCCATCTGTGCTGTCTGACGAAGAGCCTGAGTCATCCTCGTCTGACTCAACACCTGGCTTCTGTCCACGGGGCCAGCAATGTTTGCAAGCTGCATCATACTGGACGCCGTCAAGACAATCAATACCTTCAACCTGTACTGAACATGACGCTGGCTTGGTGCCACAGCCATCCCAACGATGAAGCCTACGCAAGCGCCGGTTTTTTGTGATACAAATAAAGTACCGGAAGGTTTCTTGGTTGGGGCCCTCAGCAGCTACGACCCCTCGAGGCAAAACTGGTTCGGCGGGTGAAATATCTTCAGTGCTACCTACTGCTACTGCGGATACTTCAGCTACATTGCACGCATTCTCCATAGGCTTTGGCGAATCGGGCGCAGCATGCGCGGCAATGGGTCGAACAGGGCAACACCAACCCGCTAAGCTCAAGTCGAATGCACAAAGTTGATTGTAAATCAATGAGTCAGACTCACCTGCCTGTCTCAAATGTATCTCCAAATCTTTAATGCCAATTTCTTGCAGCTGCCATTCCGTGTCATTGAGGACCCCCCCAACTATTGCACGCTGAACTTGGCTGACCACACGTTGCGCAGTCCGGATGTATTCATCAGAACAGGAGGCTACACGCCAGCGGCCCAGAACTTCACGCCGCTCGCGCCCTATGTCTAATACAGCAGCCACGCTGGCTAACCAGCAACGCTCGCTATGTTCTGTCCATGCCCGACAAGCAGATGGGGCGATCAAAAGAGGCTCATCTGTCAAGCTCCACTGCTGCCACTGAAAAACGGGACGGCGCAGTAAGCAATAGAGTTCTTTGGACAAAGCACACATTGCCGTATAGTCAGCCATAAGCTTTGCCCATGCAAAAGCACGTGTGTAGCGAGCAGCGCTGATGTTCATAACCCAGAGTTCCAAAGCCAGGATTAGAATCAAAGGTTGTGGTCTGGCCTTCCTAGATGGGGGCGCACCGGTTTCCAACTGCGCGGACAATTGCTCAACTGTACGCAGGACTGCCGTTTGCTTCCCTAAACGAAATTCCAAGGCGATACCAGCCACTCTTTCCATGAATTGCAGCGTGGCGCAAAATGCTTCCGGAACAGTTTTGCCACACGGCTGAGCAGCAAGTTCCTCAAGAAAGTCAAGTACCATGTCACAAGTGGTCGGCCACTGCAGCTGGTAGGCTGCATGCAGCCACTTGCTATATCGGTGCCACATCTGGATATGCTTCTTTAAGGTGCTGCTGCGGGTGTTGCCAGCCAAACGCAAAGCTCGCAGCTCACCAGTCTGCCCAGTCGCTCCGGATAAAGCAGGCGCGCAAGAATCTATCAAAATAGTAGCCAACTTGCGCTGCCAACGCAGCTGAGAAGACAACTCAGCATCTGCTCGGCTGTTAGGGCAATTTTTGGGCACACGAATCCGAGCACGCTTGTGAGCACCAGAATGATGACAAAGCCACTCCAAGGAATCTACTGGCGGCACGACAGTTTCGACCATGCGCGGCTGTTTACAAACAGCAAGCCATTGCAAAGAAGGGTGCACTGCAGCACGCCGCTTTCGACACAAGCTAGCAGCAGCAGAAGACTGAACCTGCAAAGTCTTCAAGATTGATGTGAAAAATTCAAGTTCGGCAGCATCCGATGCATAGTGGGACACGAGGGAATGTCGGTCCAAGTCATCCAGGCAAACATTGTACAGGAACTCAGGGTCAGGCAGGCAAAATTCGCTACCCAGATCGCGCCGTAAGGCTGATGGCAACTGCATCCACTGCTCTTTGGCGGTGGTACCAATATGACCACATGATTGCTCAAAGGATGCATCCGTGACAGACATCCTGCCACACAGCAAAAAGAAAATAGAATAGAACGCGCGAAAAACACAAGGTTGCAGCTAAATAGACGCGGTGCACACTTGCAACCGGTCAACCATGCACTTCATGTGCAACACCTAGCTGTCACCTGGAGCAATGTAGAACCAATCAACTTAAAACCAGGACAAACAAACAAGAAGAAAAGTTTCAACTATCGCGCCAGTCCCCTTTCGATGCATCTTGGTGCACTACACATATATATATACCTACCTTTAAACAAATAACTATAAATATAACTGTATCAAAAACTAAATAAAAAGAACTATATTTAAAAACATATTTCTATATGAAAAACTCGAAACACTTTGATTTATATACCTAAATATACATAACCCTTTCTAAAAGTAATATATATATATACAAATGCTATAGTTATCATATATATATATACATATACACTATAGCTATATACATATATGTACTAAAGCTAAATATATAAACTACAACTGTATTCAATATATATATATAATATAACTACTTGTTGAACTAACATTAAAAACTGTATATACAACAAGATTTAAACAAGTACATTTATAATTTACAAAAACTATATATATATGTATATATATGGATACCCTTGGAATCCAAAAGTGTCCGCATTTCATGTCATTTGTTGATGTAGGTGGTGTCTTATGGTCCAATGTCATTTGCGGGTGCTCCGTTTTGCGGGCCGCCACAGGTTGTCGCGGTGAGTCACGCTATTTACCATCAAACGACTGGATTTTGAATGGAAAGGAGAGACGGTTCCAATCTGTCATGGCTTGTCATGCTTTGAAACTGGAGCCCTTGCAAGAGCACCCCATCAAATGACTGTTCAAAAATGCAGTCACTTGATTGCCATTGATGGACTACCATCAAGCGGCGGCAACATTTGAGGCTTTTACCATGTAGTCAAGTTCTGTGGGTCATACCCCCAGTCTGCAAATTGACCCACGGGGACATATTATGTGATTGACATATTTATATATGTCTGTAAACAATATACATTAGATACAGTCTGATAACATAGACAACATCGGTGGTGGGTCAACCAACTCCCGACCGGGAACTTGGCGCTCCAGAACGTAGCTGAAAACAATGATCATATTCACGACGCTGAACCACTCGGGAACTTCCTGGGCACCGAGACGCCGTGATCACATGTGATCTCCTATATATAGTTGATAGTTAATATGGCTATAAATTGCTGACTATCAAGCAAAAAGAAATGAAAGTAAACCATCGCTGAAATGAGTTCAGGATTCACCCGCTTCCCTCATTTGGCTCTGCGGGAGACGTTCCACAGAGGATTGTTACTTTACATGCCAAGTTGCTACTGCAAGGCAGTGTGATATAGAGCTTGGAGTCATCATCATACTTGCGGTCAATGAACAGGGATCAAACGCAACACGCGATGTGTGCCATGTGCAAGAACATCAATACAGCTACTTTACCTGTATACAGATGCTTTCATATTATAGTATACTGTAACTTTATGTAGGCTTTTATATATAGATCCCTGGCTATTCATCACGAGACAAACACTCTAACAACATATCACATGGCATACCATGTAGGTACTTGTACTCACTGAATCTCATTGATATTTTACAGTAAATATACCGTCACCTTCGCGACTACATATCTAAAGAAGAAGCCCTCATGACTCATCCATCATACAAGTCTTATCCTGGAGTTTGCCCGCCAGGCAACCAACAAGATGCCACTTCAAGCGCCAAGTTGCGCTTTGTGGCAACCCTGAGGCCACATCTACCTGAACATTTGGAACCGGCTGTCATCTTCAGCAAAGGGGTGCTGATTCGAATTCGGTGATTGTGAAAACAGATTGCATTTGGATCTGGATTGTTTTTGCATGTGAGTCAACAGAAACGAACAGCCTGGTGACCTGAGGCACGGTTCCAAAAACACAAGCAGCTGATACGGATTGATGTTTTTGCTTTTGGTAGCCCCCAAACCAGCAAAACATCCAATATTGGCGAATTTTCCATGTGCCCCGTGTGCCCCTGGGAATAGAAAATGATTGGGAAAGCATTCCAATTTCCAGCAAACAGGAAGATTTAAGGGATCAATGCATTCAGCAAACACATCTGAAATCTTGCGCACTTGCAAGGAGAACATATTTTGAAATTCCTTCTCACACAGGTGTTGTTGGAAATTATTAGTTGCAACTTGCACCCTGGAACATTCAAACTGGAGAATGACAACTTCAAACTCTGCAGTATTCCTTGCCGGTGCCAACCTCGATCCCCAAAAGGATCAAATTCAGCACAATGAGACCCATCATACCATGGACAAACCATCCTGCGAGTCAATGGGGGGGTGCTTTCAACATCCACTTGTAAATCTTGCACACCCTACCATGCATTTGTAGACACATGTAAACAAAAAAACGGCTGCTGTTAAAGTCCAAAAATCCATGTGCCAAATTCATGATTTGGCAGGAATGATATATAGTGTGAGAGATTCTTAGAACATGCTTTCAGTTTGTATTGACATGCGGGTCACGTGGAAAACAAACAGTCGAACATGAACTTTGCCAGAGTTTTTGCGTTGGCCATTGAAACGCCAAGAACAAAAATGTTTTTTTTGGTTTTGCCAACCACATCTCATGGAGGGAAGAAAACCCTTGTTGTCAATTGGACAACCAAAAAAATCCGGTAGCTTGCGGATGGAGGAATGATATACTTTTGCAGATGCATTCAAACAACTCAAGCATGGTGCGCCCCTACCCAGAAGCCAGAAAATATCTGCACCCGCTCGGCTTTGTCTAAAAAACCACCAAATTTGGTGAAAGTGGTTGTAGCTTCGGTGTACATCATTGTTACGAAGTAGACAAGCCCATTGATCTGCCATCCCTTTCCCTTTCCAAATATGGGTCTCCGGACTTGAAGAGACGATATCACGGGCCGTCCAGCAGCATCGTTTTTTGCTACCAGGGTCTTAGTTGAAACGTGAAGCCAGGTACCCAACACAACCGGTGGAACTTCACAATTGAAATAATCACTAACATCAGCTTTTCCGATGGCTTACCACTTATACCACTATCTGAGTCACTATCTATAAGAAGTACCGGTCTGGTAGCCTTGGCTCAAGCCCCTCCGTGTGGGTGGGCTGGACCGTGACAGAAGGCTTGAGGAGTTTGCTCTTGAGGCGTCCCGGACTGTCAGAAGAAGTTCTAGGTGCCACTGTTGGCGTCCTGCCTGCAGTGTGTCTCCTTTACTCCAAAGATTCCCCTCAGGAAGTGTGAGATCGTTACCAAGGGTGTGGTTTAGGCCCCCTTTCCAGGTGAATATGTCAAAGCGATGATCGTCGAGTTTGAGAAGATTTTGAAGCTCAAAAGCGATTCGCCATGGACAGGAACGAGGCTGAGAGAGGTGAGAGTATGGATATTCCACGGGCCGATGTGAACAGGCGTGAGACAATACCCAAGGAGACTCACGCTGCAGGATGAGGACCCACCGCGCTGGACCTCTTCACTCTTCAGGCTACCTGGATTGAAATGTTTTGGGGTTTTGTTCATGATACGGTTGTGCTCCCGCCCTCTTTGTGAGTCTTTGTGCTCTCATGAGTTGGTTCGGGTTCCGGATGATCATGCGTTGGGGTTTGGATACCTTTCAGAATCTTCTTCCCTACGTTCCGGGGTGTCAGTTCCTTGGTCCAATGGTCGTTTTCGGCTTCCGCTGCGTGCGTGCGGCACGGCACTTGGCAAGTTGTCCGGTCTCACATGTTCTTGTGGGTTTTGAAAGACCAGCCTGGTCATGATGTTCCTATTCGAAAAAAGGGGGCTATAGATAATAAATGCTTTAACATCTCTGATTGAAAAGGCTGAGACCCGGGACCCGTGAAAAACGGGGTGGCCTTGATTAAATAATAAATGGTTGTAATGCGAGTCTTGTGTGTGTGTCTTGCCATGCATATATATATATATATACAAATAATACACACATATATATATGTGAGATGTGTGATACATGCACTTCATCAAGTCATTGAAGTCCCATTGCAAAGTGTGATTAAGTTTACTACTAGACGTAGAAAACAAAGCATTGATATCCCATGAACCCTTGTTGAAAGGATATTTTGAGACCCTTTGGCTGGCCACTGCACAAACCTCAGAGCAATGGCTACCTTGCAACAGGATGGAAATGAAGAGGGTTGGAAAAGGCTTCCCGCTTGTGCTTGAGAGTGGCTCCGTGCATTGAACTGCCATGAAAACACCAAGAATCAACCATTCATGAAAATCTCCTCTTCATTGCAAACACGAGCACATGTGGAAACAGACTGCACATACCCCATGATTCGTTGAATTTCAATAGGACATTCGGGCGTACGATTAAATTCAGTCTTTTCAAAGCTCCCATCTCTTCAATTTTTTGTGCCGGGTGCTGCTAATCACTGAGCTATTATGCAACTGTGAAAATCAACTTGAACGACACATGGACAGACAGAAGCGGGTACTCCAAAAGGGGAGCACCAACTTGACCCACTAAAATTGCAGCCTTCAAAAGCATTCATCATTTTTTACATCATCAAAAGCATCTACCACTTTTTCAATCTTTTACATGTATTCTTATCAGAAATCATCCAATCTGGTTCACCTTTTTGGATACTTTTGGGTCATAGCCAAGTTGGTAACCACCCATGCCGAAGGGGCCCCGTGGTTCCCACTGCTTCAAAGCCACGTCCGCTGGAATCCACGGTCCCACGGAGTTCGCCGGAGACGAATTTAGAGGCGCGTGTCTGGAACAGCTGTTTGCCCAAAAACAACCGGAAAAAAGGGGTTACGTTCATGGCAACTACCATCAGATCTCATGATGTGTCGATATTCATCAAAATTTTCCAATAACCACCTATTTGAAAGGCCGCATCACTTCCAAGGTTGGCACATTGATGGTTTACCAGTCTGGTCCATTGAGTTGCAACATGCGGGTAGATATGGCATCCCCCTTGAAATTCGCCCCGAGAGGATGGGCGCACCAAAGTGTAGGGTGCCCAGCCTACCCCCCTACAAAATGGTATGGGGACACCTACAAAATGGTAGCGCCCAGGGGGGTTGTTGCCTACAAAATGGTGGCCCCAGGGTACCCCACCTGCCCACCAACATCAAGCATTTTGGGTTAACATAGTGTCCAAAAAACTGTGAAAAATGGGAGAACCATTTTGTAAGACACAAAGCAACCCTGTGGTCGCACCCTGGTCTTGTTTGGGCGACCAATTTGTAGACAGTTTACTCTGAATGAAATGTCTTCTTAAAATCTCTCACGCAATCCTTGCATATCTCAAATTTTTGCATCTTGTGCATCTGGCAATCGGGTCTCATAAAGTATCGTCCAACAGAAGTAGTCAGATAGACTGGACCGAAGTAGTGGTCATCGCTTTTTTTCCTGGACCGGGGCTGGTTTCAAAATTTTGGAGGCTTTGAAAACTTTGCCATCATCTCCGCCACAAAATCCACATGGTCGGTTAATATTTTTTTGTGTTCAAATATATTTACATTTGTGGATGTATTTATCAACTCCCCTTACCCATCTACAAAATGGTATTCCAAATCTTCTACAAAATGGAGGTGCCTGACACTGGCATATGATCTTGTTCTCATATAAAGTGATGTTGGGTGTGTATAAACAGGAAATGGAGTGCCCCGACGGAAAAAAAAACATAAAATCTGATTTAGAGGGGGCCCAGGGCCTACCAGGCCTACCATTTTAAATGAGATAGGCTTACCAAAGTGTAGGGTGCCCCCCCTACAAAATGGTATGGGGACACCTACAAAATGGTAGCACCCATGGGGGTTACTGCCTACAAAATGGTGGCCCCAGGGTACCCCACCTGCCCAGCAACATCAAGTATTTTGGGTTAACATAGTGTCCAAAAAACTGTGAAAAATGGGAGAACCATTTTAAGACACAAAGCAACCCTGTGGTCGCACCCTGGTCTTTTTTGGGCGACCAATTTGTAAACAGTTTACTCTGAATGAAATGTCTTCTTAAAATCTCTCACGCAATCCTTGCATATCTCAAATTTTTGCATCTTGTGCATCTGGCAATCGGGTCTCATAAAGTATCGTCCAACAGAAGTAGTCAGATAGACTGGACCGAAGTAGTGGTCATCGTTTTTTTCCTGGACCGGGGCTGGTTTCAAAATTTTGGAGGCTTTGAAAACTTTGCGATCATCTCCACCACTAAATCCACATGGTCGGTTAATTTTTTTTGTGTTCAAATATATTTACATTTGTGGATGTATTTATCAACTCCCCTTACCTATCTACAAAATGGTATTCCAAATCTTCTACAAAATGGAGGTGCCTGACACTGGCATATGATATTGTTCTCATATAAAGTGATGTTGGGTGTGTATAAACAGGTCTCTTTCTACAAAATGGAGTGCCCCGACGGCAAAAAAAAACATAAAATCTGATTTATAGGGGGCCCAAGGCCTACCATTTTAAATGGGAAATGTCAACGGGGATGATATGGCGGTATTGGGACGATCTGAAGCATGCTTTATTCAGATGATTTATGCCATGATGTGTTCTGACAAAATCAGATTCATGCGACCATATTGACAATATCACCCTGATTCTTGCTTGCCGATCAACCCCAAATTGTCATAGATGCTCGTTTGCGGGCGGGATCATTTGCCA